AAAGCCACTTTTATAAGGAGTTTAAACACAGTTATGTGCAACAGTATATGAATATAAGCAGCTTCTTATGGTAAAAATGTATTAATTCTGTTTTTATAATCACTTTGATTGACATTCTCCCTTTGTATGTGTCATCAGAAGGGGAAATCACTGCCCATTAGTGATGATCTCTCCCTTGTTAGCATAGGACAGGGGTCGGCAACCCAAAATGTTGAAAGAGCCATACTGGACAAAAAAAAAACAAAAACAAATATGTCTGGAGCCGCAAAAAATTAAAAGCCTTATATAAGCCTTATAATGAAGGCAACACGTGCTGTATGTATTTATATTAGCTATATTAGCCTACTATAAAAATGATTTAGTTGGCTACAAATACATACTAAGCCTTCATGATTAAATGTTTTTTTTTTCCCTGCAGTGCATCCTGTAGAGAATGACGCACCACGTGACTACTCTGTTGTACGATGCCGTCTCAAGTTTACCTTAATTGCAATATTAATGCATTATGTTTAATGTTCGAGTTTAACTTCATTACAATATTAATGAATTATGTTTAATGTTCAAGTTTAACTTCATTACAATATTAATGCATCATGTTTTGCTTTGATGAAATTAAAGAAATGCAGTAAAGAAATCAGATTTTTGATGTTTTTTATTTTGAGGATTCCAAAAAACAACATCAAAATGAACGTGCATAACGTGCCCCTTACTGGGAATGTGCTCAACAAGGAAGGGTCAATCTCCAGGGGTGTGTGACAAGGAAAGACAGTCTCGTTTTTTCCTTTCGCCACTCGCAAAATCTGCTCCCAAATGCAGTTTGCATATCAACGATCGCACCTTGTAAATAATCACCGTTGAGTGAGTGATCGGGATGGGCTTCTTTGAATTCTCTCAGGGAGGGAAAATGAGAGAGCGTGCCCCGATGTACATCTTTGGCAAGACAGCTTACGCTCCATGGCGCATCACACAGCCGCCGGATAGTTTACAACAGCTACCTGCCTATTCCGTGTGTCGCAGGCTATGACGCAAATCTTCGTTGACAGAAATGTTGAAAATAAATATTCTACACACTTTTACAGCATTGGAAAACGTTAAGATTGTTTGTCCTCCTATAGAAACCATATTAAAACAAAAATATATTTACCTCCCCCATCTTTTTCCGTTTTCAAACATTTTTTGAAAAAGCTCAAGGGAGCCACTGGGGCAGCGCTAAAGAGCCGCATGCGGCTCTAGAGCCGCGGGTTGCTGACCCCTGGCATAGGACAATAGTCTTGTTTTTTAAGCTGCCTCTATGTGGACACACTGACATTTGTAGCTCCGCCCTCTTTTAAAAAGAGCACAATCTCATTTGAATTTAAAGCAACAGTCACCAAAACAACACAATTAGGATCATAACCTAAAATGGGCAGTTTCAGAGAGTTATAAAACATTATTTGTGTGGTATTTTGAGCTGAAACTTTACATACATCCTCTAGGGACATCAGAGACTTATTTTAGATCTTGTAAAAGTGTCATAATAGGTCCCCATTAACACTTGAATGTTATTTTGGGGCTTTACATGCACGCTTGCATGGTCAAAAACTCATTTTTGGGTCACATATGGACAAACCCAATTGCTGGCTTGCACTGCTTTTACCTTATTTAGGGCAAGTGAGCTCAGCGCAGCCTCCACTCCATCAGAGAGACTTTACGAGCGCTAACAAGAGGCGAACGCTTTCCCGAAACTCACATCATTAGAGCTGCACTGTACCAGATGAATCAAGCACGCTTCACATTTACAATCTCCAAGAGCACGGTGACCCTCTCGCAAAAAAACAAACAAAACCAAGCCATAATTATCCACGTGCGAAGCTTCCAAACACCGCCCAGAAATTTAACACATAATGGCATATAATTACTCGCAATCTGCATGATTATTTTTAGCAGTGCTTTATGGAAAATTTGATTGTCCTTTAAAAATCAAGTGTTCTAATTACAGCACAAAGCATTTATAAATACAGCGAATTGAATTGAATATGGGCAAGATAATTTAGTCAATTTATTAAAGTAAACAGTTTTATTAAAGAGTTCAATTCTTAAAAATAGGAGTGTGGTCAGCGATTATCTTTCGGAATAGAAAGATCATACATTTAATTTCAAATGAGTTATTGCCAAAAAAAAAAAAAAAACATTACAAACTACAAACTTTTGCCATTGTGAAAACGTACCACTGTATACATCTCTGGAGAGCACGAATTATGTAGCCAGAGCTACAGTACGTATGGCTGCATTTAGCTTTTTACATGAATGCTATGGGACTGTATGATGCCACCGATACCTTCCGTTTCTTTCCGCACAGACCACTTGCCTCTGTGTGGATGGCTTTTCTGCAGTTTCTAGTTTGCCCACTTGAGACATTGAGAGTTGACCATGATGACAGGGTTTGAGTCTGGTGAAAATCGGTTCCAGAAAACGGGTAAGACAACAACAGAAGCCAAAAAATAAAAGAAACAAGTAAATAACAGGGTGAGAACGTGGTAAAAAACAGGTGGCTTTTCTTTTTCTGGATTGCTTTTGAAAACACTATCGGTTGGGTTTACGGAAGGGGGTGGGTGGGAGTGATCGATTGGTCAGTCAGACAGTCAACAGCGGCCTGTGGTGGATTTCTGCTAGAAGAGTAGGCAAAAATGGCACTTACAAAAGAAATTAGAGATCTCAAAAAGCATACACAGCGGCCTTTGGTGGATTCGCAAAAACAATAACTGCAAAAAACATACGTCCTGGGACGTATTCGGCACTCTCCAAAAATGTATACAGGGGTACATATCAATAATGAACCTGGGTTGAAATTTCTAATAAATGTAGTATTTTTTATGGTACTCATGTCTTGATTTTACCTATTTATTAAACACATTCATTGTGGTGTATTTGATTATTATTTTTTATAATAATCTGATTATTTTATTATAATAATCTGTAGGAATGTAAAGACCATGCACTTAAATTCAAATGAGTTATATAACATTACAAAAAATAAATAAACATTACAAACTACAAAATTTCGCCACACAGTGTCATTGTGAAAATGTACCCCCGTATACATTTCTGGAGAGCATGAATTATGTAGCCAGAGCTACGTATGGCTGCATTTCGTCTTTCAAATGAAGGCTACATAACGGTATGACACCGCCAATGGCTCCTGTTTTTTTTCGCGCTGCCAACTGACCGCCTACCTCTGTGTGGACAGCTTTTCTGCTGTTACCAGTTTGCCCAGTGGCTTGCCATGTACATCAGTGGACTTGAGACGAAGAGAGGAGTTGACCACAACGACAGGGTTTGGTCTGGTGAAAATCGGTTCCAGAAAGCGGGTAATACAAAAACAGAAGCCAAAAAATAAAAGAAACAAGTAAATAACAGGGTGAGAATGTGGTAAAATCTAAAAACATGGTAAAAATCAGGTGGCTTTTCGACACTATCAGTTGGGTTTACGGAAGGGTGTAAGTGGGAGTGATCGGTTGGTCAGTCAGTCAGTCGACAGCGGCCTCTGGTGGATTTACATGAGAACAGCAGGCGCGAATGGCACTCGAGAGAAATTTGAGATCTGAAAAAGCAAGCACAGCGACCTCTGGTGGATATGTGAAAATAAAAACTGTAAAAAATTTTTTTTTTTTAAACTTACCTCCTGGGATGTATTTGGCACTCTACAGAAATGTGTACAAGGGTACATATCAATAATGATCCTGGGTTGAGATTTGTGGTATTCCTGTCTTGATTTTACTTATTTATTAAATACATTAGTTGGGGTGTGTTTCATTATTAATATTATTATTATTATTATACTGATTGTTAAATTTGTTTGTCCTTTAAAAATGAAGATGAATGAATGTTTAGTAAATATTTACCAGCATATTCACTGGATTGAGTACCTTTTTGAAAATGATTATGCATTTTTCAGTGAGTATGAACAATAAATAATATTTTTATTGCGTTTAAGCAAAATTGATTCATTAAAGAGGTGTATTTATTAAAATAGGGCACAGTGGCTTAGTGGTTAGCACAATTGCCTGACAACAAGAAGGTCGCTGGTTCGAGCCTGTTTGGCGTGGGTTTCTTCCGGGTGCTCCGGTTTCCCCCACAGTCCGAACACATGTGATGTAGGTGAATTGGGTAAGCTAAATTGCACGTAGTGTATGTGTTTGAAAAAATGTGTATGAATGTTTCCCAGTGATGGGTTGCAGCTGGAAGGGCATCCGCTGTGTAAAAGCATATGCTGGATAAGTTGGTGGTTCATTCCGCTGTGGCGACCCCTGATTAGTAAATGTGAACGCTGAGGTGGTTGTGTGGTGAAGCCAGAGATAAATTCCACCTGTGTACAATAAAGAAAGGAAAGTATTTATTTAAAAGGGGGATCTGTAGGTGGTGTGCTCATTATTTCTAGGAACTGAATCATTAATAACATCTGCCAGACAGAGCAACAATTCTTTCTCAGTGATATCAGAATACAGAAGTGTATTATTATTATTATAAATAATTTCACAAGGTTTTAAAGTGCTAAAGGAGTGGAGGTCAGCTGTCTGTTCCCTGAAAAAGTTAGTCCTTGCTGGACAAGCTTTTATCTGTTCCCTCTCTGTGTGACATTAAACTTCCTTGAGGCTTATCACACTTTTTTAAAAGCTTTATAAGATACACATCTGCTCACGTGCCTTATATTTAATACTAATTTCCCACTGAATAACAAAGATTTGGAGTTTCTTCTCTTTTTGTCCTAAATGCGTGACATATTTTTAAGCTTTGTTAAGAAATGTGGGGGTGACACGGTGGCTCAGTGGGTATTACTGTCGCCTTACATCAAGAAGGTCACTAGTTCGAGTCCCAGCTGGACCATTTGGCATTTCTGTGTGGAGCTTGCATATTCTCACTGTGTTTGTATGTTTGTGACTATTGCAGATGGGCACATTGCGATATCGATGCTGTAACCGTATATTATGCAGCCTAATTATTAATATATCTTGTGATTTCAGAGTTTTGAACTACATCTCAGTGAAGACCATCAGCAGCCGGAGTTTCGACGGCCTGAAAGGAGTAAGAAGAATGTGAGTAGTCATTGTTTTTTACAACATTACGCCATATAACCAGATGTTTAGCGAGTCCACTGAAGGGAACGCATCCATCCGTCCATCATCACTCCTCTCTGAGCCAGCAGGTTTACAGGGAAAAAGATTTGCAGAGAAAACTCTTTGATGTTCACTCCCTTTTTCAGGACGCACTGAGCTTTCAAATGCCAAGATTTCCCTGCCGCTCGCTCTATTGAAAAGCTCAGGACATCCAAGCTCAGGAGGAACAGTTTGAACGCTCGAACAGAATAGATTATTGTTTGGCGTGAACGAATTGAAAGAGCAGTATTTGAGCCAGTGATAGTTTAATATCACACTACAGCCGATCTTGTGAAGAATTCAAAGAGAAGCATCTCTTTCCTGAGGAATATACTGTTGTTTTTGAGGTTTTTTTTATGTGTGTGTGAATTTTCTATTATTAAAAACTAAAGGTGTCATACTAATTAAAACTGTCATTTAAAAAAAAAAAGCCTTTAGCTCAACCTGCCAAAATAAAACTTTATGGTTTAACTTTCATTCATTCATTAATTTTCTTTTCGGCTTAGATACTTTATTAATCTGAGGTCGCCACAGTGGAATGAACCGCTAACTTATCCAGCATATATTTTACGCAGCGGATGCCCTTCTAGCTGGAACCCATCTCTGGGAAACATCTATACCCTCATTCACACTCATACACTACGGACAATTGAGCCTACCCAATTCACCTGTACCGCATGTCTTTGGACTGTGGGGGAAACCGGAGCACCCGGAGGAAACCCCCTCGAACACAGGGAGAACATGCAAACTCCACACAGAAATGCCAACTGACCCAGCCGAGGCTCAAAGCAACGACCTTCTTGCTGTGAGGCGACAGCACTACGTAGTCCAGGCTGGGTCAGTTGGTGTTTCTGTGTGGAGTTTGCATGTTCTCCCCATAGGTTCTCCGTATAGGTTTTCTCCAGTTGCTCCGGTTTCCCCTAAAAGTCCAAACATATGCGCTATAGGGGAATTGAATAAGCTAAACTGGCTGTAGCGTATGTGTGTGAATGCAACAGTGATGGGTTGCGGCTGGAAGGGCATCCGCTGTGTAAAACATATGCTGGATAAGTTGGAGGTTCATTCCGCTGTGGCGACCCGGGATTAATAAAGTGACTAAGCCGACAAGAAAGTGAATAAATGAACATTTTGTAGAAGAAACAGTACAGAATGAATTATTCACTGCTGTTTACTGCACATACTAATACAAAAAGCTTATCAATTAATATAGGATCCACCATTTATGAACATTTTTAAGTTTAAAATACAAATTTTATAGTATAATTTTTATAATGCAATAAAAATGCAATGCATAAGAACATATTTGTGATGTTTATAAATGATCATAAAAGAGTTTATAGTAAAGAAATAAATGCTTTCAGTTTACTTTTTAAGTGCTCCTCTGAAATGTATGTGTAGCGGCTTTCCAATTGCCACTACTGTTGGCAGAGCAAGCAAGTTTTGTACGCGTAAAGTCAGAGTCCGTAGGCAAAATAGATCCAAATAAAAACGTCTTTATTTTCCAATTAACATAATTACTTCATTAACTTTCCTTAATCTATATGCACACTTCTTTGTTACCTTGAGTTACCTTACGAGACGAGACGGTCAAAAACTGTGTGCTTCCTACCAACACTGTCTAACTCCATGCAGTGAAGCCACAGTTATATAGTCTCCTATTGACACCTTGTGGCCAGTTGCCAATATACATTGTATGGCTCCTAAAGTATGCTTTCTCAGAATTATACAAAGGCCCAACTCCAATTCTATTTTGTACCCCTTCCCCTTTCACTTGGCCCTTGAAACAGAGGGTGAAGGTGAAGGGTTTCAAAATGTACCCCTAAGAAATGAGACAGCACTACAGCACCTGCACACATCATCATACAGTATGTCATCGTGAGCTCTTGCTTCATATCAGACGATCACGACTGCTGTAGTGATTCCAGTTCTGTTATTTTTTGGTATTTATCTTCAGGAAATCCCTGAAGGGATATATTATGTTATCATAACGATCTAATGTGCCAATGAGATCATAACTACTGTGCATTTACACCGTGGCCATATTCATCAGTGTAAACACACCAAAAACAACATTAACATTATAGCAGACACTGTAAACAGCTCATTTTCAACATAGTCATTATCTTTGAATAATCTTTTGAATGAAGAAACACTAATACGTTTTAGTTTTAAAACACATAAGTTTTGCTACGGTTATGCCATCCGTCCACACTACATCAGAGTTTTCGAGCGCTGAAAACGAAGCTTTTTGAAAATGCTGAAGAGGCTGTTTTCATTGTAAAACGCTGCTGCTCTGTGTCAGTGTGGATGGGGGAAAACGGAGACATCTGAAAACGGAGACGGGGCTGCAGAAATTTGCCTCTCTGATTGGGGCTTCTTTCTCAATATTAACGCCACCACGTTTCCCTCAGTCCATAATATGTCCTCATTTGTAAGTCGCTTTGGATAAAAGCGTCTGCTAAATGACTAAATGTAAATAATATTGTAGTGATATTAACATCGCTTCTTAATTTCTTTTTAAACCGGAAGAACAAATTTGCTCAAAACAACGCAAAAACAACCAATTTTCACGTATGTGTTACTCAAGAGTGTCTTCTGTATCTTTAAATTGTGTAAACCCTTTACTTTTCAATGGATTCTGTCTGGCTGTCAGTGTTTTATCATTCATGATCTGGCAAAATTGTTCTGGAAGTGATCCCAACGCTATTCTTACTTTGTTTTGGTGTGTACTATGTTATTCTTTAACACTGTGAATGATTTCTACAACTATAAGTTTATTGTTATCTGTATAGTTATCATGCTTAGTGTGAACGGGTCTTTACTGTTTGCTATGTGGGAATGACATGCAAAAGAAATCCCGCCCCCTACTAAATATTCTGTTTTAACTGGAAGTACTGAAACATACATCAACATACTGAAATAATAAAAATCTTGACAACTTCCAGTTCACATGGACTTTTATGTATACTTGCTTTGTTGTCGTTTTTACTCTTCAGATTGAGTGGCCTAATAAATAAGTGTTTTCCTAATAATGAAAGTGAAATCAATCTAAATATGAAGACTTATGAGTCATGTTCTTATGAGTGCAGATTACAGTTTCTTATATTCAATAATCTAACAGATTGATGCATCAAATAAAAGGAAAAATAGCCAAAGAGCACGGTGCAAATAATGTTGTTGAACTTGCTTCTGATCATGCAACAATGGTGTAATTTGGCACATACTTTAGCTGTAATCAGGGTGTGAATTATATATTGACAATCACTAGAGAAGACAAACTTTTCTGTAATGTTAGTTTGTGTAACACATACTTCAGTGTGTCATGATTGCCATCAATCTATGTTGGGAAAGATTACAGACCCATAATGAACTACAATTCCCTACACACTGGACTCCATTTCCATTAATCACACACACACACACACACACACACACACACACACACACACACACACACACACACACACACACACACACACACACACACACACACACACACACACACATACACACACACACACACACACACACACACACACACACACACACATAGCTGAAACCCGTTATCATGGATTGTTTGGACTATGAATACATCTTATGTACACTGAAAAAAGTGTTGCATGCAGAACTGTTGCAAACAATTTATTTGTGTTGAATTTAAACAAACAAATTAAATTTAATAATGTTCAACTTAATTTGCTTGTTTAAATTCAACACAAATAAATTGTTTACAACCACTTAACATAAAAAAATTGAGTAAATCCAAGGAATCATCGTTGAATAATTTTTTTCAGTGTATCTGAGTTCATTATGGAGTCTATATGTCATCTGGATGTTCTGTTATGTTGATGTTCCAGAGCCTGAGTCTGTTCTGTTTGTTTATTTGATACTTTGTAAGACTTCATGAAGACTGTATCATTAAAGCTGCACTTGAATACTACCTTTATATATAAGATTTAAGATGTATTGCTTAAGCTATATGTAAATATTAACACCTATTTTAAAAGAAAAGTGTCTTGTGAATACTTATAAAGTCTCTTGGAGCTCTTGAATTGCAGTTTTAGACTGTTCAATTACTTTTTGCATAGACTAACTATGTATTAAAAATGCTATAAACCATAAAGGGGTGGTCAAAAGTGTATTTATATTTTAATATTTGTTAATTAATAATTATTAATATGATTTAAGATACCGATCAGACCCCACATCCCACACATCTGGTATGGTAAATCCCCTTAAACCTCCTGGTAATTCACACCTTGCCTCTAATTATAATTTTTTTTTGATCTAGAGAAATCGCCCAGAGCTCCTCAGTGGAAACCATCGAGTCTGAAGCCTTCAATAACCTGCCGAACGTCTCCGAGATGTAAGAAACCACTCAGGGAAGATTGAAACTGAACATTGAAACTGTTTCATGCATAATTGACCTAAACCTTGATTACTCTGTTTAATTATTGCCTGTAATTACCGCAGACTGGAACAAAATCTTCTAATTTTTCACAGTACAGTAATGTGTTGATTGTTTGTGATTTCTCATGCAAAAATTTGTGTCACAGCTCAATCCAGAACACGCGGAACCTGGTTCACATCCAGCAGCGGGCCTTCAACCAGCTGCCCAAACTCAGATACCTGTGAGTGGCTTCACTTCATCATTCTTGCTGTTTCTGCATCACTAGGGATGCACAATGTATTAAAAATTAAGGTTATAGCAATAATAGTGTCACAATTGTTAGCTATGTGTACTTCAGCTATATGTACACTCCAATAGCCATTTAGCTGGACTACACTTCCCATCATGCACTGCAACGATTCAGATTCTGATTACTATCCACACTGTAAAAGTGATGTAAAATTTACAGTATGACTGGCAATTTTCAGTGTACAAGTGCACAATTGTAATTATTAATTCACAGTGTGCTTGTGTTTTTTCAGTATTACTGGCAGAATTTACAATCGAACTGTAAATTAACAACTACAACTGTGCTGTAAAACTACAGTGTGATCATAATTGTTAATCTACAGTGAACTTGTATATTTTACAGTATTACTGGCAACCGAAACTGCTTGTAATACTATACATTTTAAAGACTTTTTGTTTACAATATACAGCTGTGAGTGTGGTCACTTTATTAGGTACACCTTACTTGTACTGGGTTGGACCCCCTTTTACCTTTAGAATTGCCTTAATCCTTTGTGTCATTGATTCAACAAGGTACTGGAAATATTGGTCAGAGATTTTGCTCCATATTGACATGATAGCATCTCACAGTTGCTGCAGATTTGTCGGCTGCACATCCATGATGTGAATCTCCCGTTCTACCACATCCCAAAGGTGCCCTATTGAATTGAGATCTGGTGACTGTGGAGGCCATTTCAGTACAGTGAACTCATTGTCATGTTCAAGAAACCAGTCTGAGATGATTCATGCTTTATGACATGGTGCGTTATCCTGCTGGAAGTAGCCATCAGAAGATGGGTACACTGTGGTCATAAAGGGATGGACATGGTCAGCAACAATACTCAGGTAGGCTGTGGTGTTGGTACTTTGGGTACTAATGGGACCAAAGTGTGCCAAGAAAATATCCCCTACACATTACATCAACACCAGCTGCCTGAACTGCTGATACAAGGCAGGATGGATCCATGCTTTCATGTTGTTGATTCCAAATTCTGACCCGACCATCCGAATGTGGCAGCAGAAATTGAGACTCATCAGAACAGGCAACGTTCCTCCAATCTTCTATTGTCCAGTTTTGGTGAGCCTGTGTGAATTGTAGCCTCAGTTTCCTGTTCTTAGCTGACAGGAGTGGCACCCGGTGTGGTCTTCTGCTGCTGTAGCCCATCCACCTCAAGGTTGGATGTGTTGTGCATTCAGAGATGCTCTTCTGTGTACCTCGGTTGTAGCGAGTGCTTGCGGCTGAAAGTTAGCGAGATTTATTTTGTATTATTTATTAAATTTCCCATTTATTGTATTTATTAACGTCTACCCCACCCCTACCCTAAGCGTAACCATCATAGCACTGTAAAAACAGTAGTATTATTTATGTTATCTATTAAATTACCCAATAAATTGTATTTTTAACGTCTACCCAAACCCCAACCCAAGACTTAACCATCACAGCACTGTAAAAACAGTAGTATTATTTATGTTATCTATTAAATTAACCTATAAATTGTATTTTTAACGTCTACCCCCACCCCAACCCTAAATCCAACCATCACAGTACTGTAAAAATATTAATTATTGTTATGCAGTGTCATTAAAAATGCTGCTATATTGATGTGCCTATCACACTCCCTGCCAGCCGCATATCAAATCTAGACTTTACCCACTCTGGCCATTCTCCTCTGACCTCTGGCATCAACAAGGCATTTGCGACAACAGAACTGCCGCTCATTGGATATTTTCTCTTTTTCAGACCATTCTCTGTAAACCCAAGAGATGGTTGTGCGTGTAAATCCCAGTATATCAGCAGTTTCTGAAATATTCAGACCAGCCCGTCTGGCACCAACAACCATGCCACATTCAAAGTCACTTAAATCCCCTTTCTTCCACATTATGATGCTCACTTTAAACTGCAGCAGATCATCTTGACCATGTCTACATGCCTAAATGCATTGAGTTGCTGCCATGTAATTGGCTGATTAGAAATTTGCGTTAACAAGCAGTTGGACAGGTGTACCTAATAAAGTGGCCGGTTAGTGTATAGCATATATGCTGCCACAAAATTGTTTTAACCTTTTTAAAATATTAACATAATAGTTCATATTTAGTTCTTCTGGTTAATTCATCACTCAAAACCCAAATCCTGTTGCTTTTCTGATTTGTGCAGGAGCATCTCCAACACTGGCATTAGTGTTTTTCCTGACCTGACCTCCATCTTCTCCCTGGAGGCTCATTTCATACTGTGAGTTTCTTCTTTCATTAATCATATGATGGCTAGTAATAACAATGAAGCTGCAATATTGCCGTCGGTTGTTTTTCTCAGGCAGAACAATGTTGTGAAATAGGCCGGCTCCTTAAGAGAAGAGGAGCGCAGGTGTTGGATCAAGAGATTTAGTTGTCAGCACAGGCTTTTTGCTTCAAACGTTTAATGGATTTTGTGTCTTTTCTTCTGTGTTTAGGGATATTTGTGATAACCTGAATCTGCGCTCAGTACCATCCAATGCTTTCACCGGGATGACGAGTGAATACGCCACAATGTTAGTATCTCAAACAGACACAATTCATTTTTTCTATCAGTTGAATCTTATTTAAAGCCCATTTTTCTTGATTATTGTATAACAGAGCAAGGAATTTTTCACAGTATTTCCTATAATATTTTTTTTTCTCTTAAGAAGTCTTATTTGTTTTATTTCAGTTATAATAAAAGCTATTTTTAAAATTTTTTTGAAGCATTTTAAGGTCAATATTATCAGCCCCCTTAAGCAATATTTGTTATTAATTGTCTACAGAACAAACCATTGTTATGCAATGACTTGCCTAATTACCCTAACTCGCCTAATTAACCTAGTTAAGCCTTTAAATGTCACTTAAAGCTGAATACTAGCATCTTGAAAGATATCTCGTCTAATATTATTAGAAATGTGTTTAAAAAACAACAACACTTATATAATATTTGTTATATATTATATAATATAAAAATTAGGGGTGTCAAAATTAGCGCGTTAACGCACACGATTAATTTTAAATATTTAACGCGTAAAAAAAATCATGCAAATAACGCAGTTTTTTCCTGTTGTGGCTGACGTGTGTTCAGGGACGGCGCATGCATAGAGGCAATCTAGGCGGCCGCCTTGGGCAGCAGAATAGTGAGCGAACCCCCCGGTCTTCACTTTTATCCGCTAAACCCACCCTCTCCCTCACGGTCCATACTTTCATCCGCGAACCAGTTACTTTCGGGTTGAGGGCAGCGTGATTGTCGTTTGCCTAGAGCGCCAGTTCAGCTTGCTCTGGTCCTGTGTGTGCTTAACATGCAAAGAAATTTGGATAAGACCAAGGACGCGCTTTTAGAAGGAAAGTTTCAGTATAGAACAATTAATGTGGCATCACCAGGCTATCCAGCGTTTCCTCCAGAGTTTCATGCAGTTTTGGGTGTTTTATTTTTAATCTTTAGACTTTAACTGCAGTTCAGCAGTTCACTCTCATTCAGCAGATTTTCATTCAGGACGTTTTAATGGAATTTGATACCGCATGGCGAACGGAGAGAAAAACCTCTACATTTCGGGACTCGCGTGATCCTTTAAGGTAATCAAAAATCACTGCTTACATGGTCGACTCTTAATCAGTATTATCTTAATCATAAAAGCGGAGTATTGGTGTCCATGTAGATGTACTGTAGTGAAAGTGGCAGATGAAGTCGCAAGCTGTCAAAGACAGTTCTATTCTCTGCCTTTAAGCTACTTCCATGAGACCTCACATTTCATAAGTTTGACTTGTTTCCCCCCTACATGCAACTGTTAAAGGCTTAACTAGGTTAATTAGGCAAGTTATTCTATAACAATGGTTTGTTCTGTAGACAGTCGAAAAATAAATAGCTTAAAGGGGCTAATAATTTTGACCTTAAAATGGTGGTTAAAAAATAAAAAACTGCTTTTATCCTAGCCAAAATAAAACATATAAGACTTTCTCCAGAAGAAAAAATTATATCAGACATTCTGTGAAAATTTCCTTGCTCTGTTAAACATCATTTGGCAAATATTTAAAAAAGAAAAAACATTTCAAAGGGGGTTCAATAATTCTGATATATTTATATTTATCATTGGAAAGTTCTAACACTTCTAAATACATTTTTACCACTGTTTATTTGTTTATTTATTTGTTAGCACAACAATGGCTTGTTCTGTAGCCAGAAAATATATATAAATAAATAAAAATTCATTAGGGGGCTAATAATATTGAACCCAGCAGTTTTTACATTAAAAAATAATTAATAATAATAATAATAAATAATTTTGTTTTTGCAAGCCAAAATAAACGAAATAAGTAGAAGTTTTCCCACTAGAAAAAAACTAAAGTAAAACAGATGCAGCATGATAAGCAGCATGAGAAAAAAAAATTATGAATATAAAATTTTACATATATATATATATATATATATATATATATATATATATATATATATATATATATATATATATATATATATATATATATGTATATATATATGTGCATGATTTTATTCTTCAAAAGTCTTGATTTGTATTGAATCAGTGTTTTATTTTCCACTTTGTGACTCTGACTTTGACTTTGTGGAAGAAATAAAGCATCATTTTGCAGCTGTGCTGTTAAATCTTTGTAGATTCCCCTTTAGCGGTGATGAATTAAAGGCACTGTCTCTGTGTCGCTTTTATTTCTGAGTTGTTTATGAGTCTAGTTCAGTTTTAAAAGCCTCGTAATCTTACTAACAGTCTGTTTGCATCACATTGCGACACATTTGTACAAGAATTCTCTTTACGATCAGCCTGAAACATCGTTCAGTTTTGCATATTTAGTTTAATGAAATGTTCTTTTTGGACACACTCCCACAAATCGATCCCAATAAACAAAGTAAAAGCCTTTTTTAAAAGCATAATATTAAATCAAAATTAATGTTATGGTGTTACATAATATGTTTATAGTGAATTATTGCTAGTTTTGATAAATGCTATCAATCTAAGAGTTGTTTAGTCTGTAAATGTACAAGACATCCTTCACTCTCTATGTCTAAATGCTAAGATAATGCATCCTTTATCAGAAAAATGTCCTGAAGAACTCTTTGTGTTAGTGTTGCGTGACATTGACAATATTTCCTAAATAAACAATATAGAGATGAGTGTGTTTTGTGCTGGTTCATGACTGTGATGAAAACAAAAGATACTGTACGTAAACCAGCAGCATGTGCAAGTCCCTGACTACATGAGTGATTCATTAATTGATTTATTCAAACGAATCATTCAAAATGACTGAAATATTTAGGGGCGTCACGGTGACGCAGTGGGTGGCACGGTTGCCTCACAGCAAGAAGGTTGCTGGTTCGAGCCCTGGCTGGGCAAGTTGTCAGTTCTGTATGGAGTTTGCATGTTCTCCCCGTTTTGGTTCCTCCACAGTCCAAACACATGCGCTACAGGTGAATTGGGTAAGCTAAATTGTCCGAAGTGTAAGTGTGTAAACGAGTGTGTATGGGTGTTTCCCAGTGTTGGGTTGCAGCTGGAAAGGCATCTGTTGTGTGAAACATGGATAAGTTGGCGGTTTATTCCACTGTGGCGACCCCAGAATAATAAAGGGACTAAGCCGAAAAGAAAATGATTGACTGAATGACTGAAATACTTAGACTTTTTGTTGCTGTTGTTGGCAGAACAGATCAAAACAGTCAATATTGTGTCTAAAATGTAACACTCAGTATTAACTTCTTGTTTGTTTAACTATTGTATAAAATCAGTATCATAAATGACATGTCGTATAATATATTTGTGATCATATAATATAATTTAACTATATCATACGTTATAAAAATAAAAAGCGCAGGATATTTTTTGCAATTATATGCTCATTTAAATATTGTTCTCATATATAGGCTTCTTTAGATTCGTGATGCAACGATTAACTGGTTTCACTATTAACCGCGATTTAATTCGTCACGGATAATTAATCGTAAAGGCTTCTCAACACCGTGTTTTTGAACGGAACAAAAATGCAGCAACTAAACAATGTTATGCCAACTGTGGCATAATAACCACGCACACTGGACTAACTATGACTGAGGCTATATTAATTAAGGCAAGCTAGTTCAAGTTCAATATTTCCAATGGACCCGCACACAAACCAAAGCATTCACGCTTTTCAGGCGCACCTAGTTGAGATGAAAAGGGGCTTTTGTGACCGTGGGAACTGCATACGGCTGAAGTTTGAGGAAGAAGCAATGAAAAGTACACATGTTTGCAAACCTACTTATAGTTACAAATAATGGTGCCAATGAGAGCGATTATCCACCAGCTGAGTGGAGTATTTTCTAAAAAGTAGCAATTTTACCCAATACATGCATCAATAATATCCACTGATTTTTATATAGTCAATCAAATGAACTTTAAAAAAAACTAATTTTAAATGGTTTTAGTTTCAAGCTAGTGAGGTTTTGAAATCAATGAATGCAAATAATCGTGAAAACCGTGAAATCGTGATTATTTCTTAGACTATAATCGCTCAATGAAAATTTATAATCGTTGCATGCCTACTTTAGACAGTCCACTCTTATGACTCTTTGGAATTTTTACACTGTGCTCAAATGATTCATTGATAAATTGTACATTTTGATGCTTATTTATTTATTTATTTATTTATTATTATGATTATGTAACTTTTTTTGCATTTTTAACTGTTGCAAAAACCTGTACTTATTAGCCCCCCTGTTTATGTTTATGTTATATTTTCAAGACACGTCTATACAGCTTAAAGTGACATTTAAAGGCTTAACTTGGTTAATTAGGTAAATTAGGCAGGTTAGGGTAATTAGGCAAGTTATTGTATAACGATGGACTATTTTTTTAGACTATCGAAAAAAATTGCTTAAATGGGCTAATAATTTTGTCCTTAAAATGGATAAAAAAAAACTGCTTTTATTCTAGCCAAAATAAAACAAATAAGGCTTTCTCCAGAAGAAAAAATATTATCAGACATATTGTGAAAATTTCCTTGCTCTCTTAAACATCATTTGGGAAATATTTTAAAAAAGAAAAAAAATTCAAAAGGGGGCTAATAATTCTGACTTCAACTGTACATATATACATAGATGTATATATAAAGATGTGTATAGACAACTTATAATGTGGAAAACATTTTTTAAATTGTCTCAAGACAAGATTGAGTGTTGTTCAATAGTTTTACACAATTTTCATAAACCTTTTATTAATACACCCCCCCCCCCCCCCCCCCCCGCCCGTCTTTTCAGGAATCTCTTTAACAATGGATTTCAAGAAATAGAGAGCCATGCCTTCAATGGAACAAAAATAGACAAACTGTAAGTGCATTTACACTAATCACTGTCCAGTTTTGCTGTTATGATTCTGTGTTGTACACTTTATTTGGACCATTGGAGTTTGCTTTATATGAAAATACTATTTCAATCTTTACTTTAAATTCACCTTCAGTTCAGTGTGTGTTGCTTGATGATTCTTTGTAAATAGTGCGGTCAATCAACTAATCCTGATTAATCACATCTAAAATCAAAGATTGCTATTTAGATAATATAGGTGAATATACCGAGTGTATATAATAAATAATTCATCCATACATTTTCCTTATTTATCTGGGGTTTCCACAGTGGAATGAACTGCTAACTATTCCAGCATATGTTTTAAGCAGCAGATTCCCTTCCAGCTACAACCCAGTATTGGGAAACACCCATAGACACTCATTCACACACACGTTTACACACTATGGTAAATTTAGTTTACTCAGTTCAGTTATAGCGCATGTGTTTGGACTGTGGGGTAAACCAGAGCAAACCCACACCAACACGGGGAGAACATGCAAACTCCACACAGAAATGCCAAAATTAAAAGTGAAAAAATCATATATATATATGTGTGTATGTGTGTGTGTGTGTGTGTATAAATATATTTTTAATATAGAACATTATATATATATATATATATATATATATATATATATATATATATATATATATATATATATATATATATATATATATATATAATTTAATATAAAACATACATTTATATGTATAATTTAATATAAAGTATAAATATATAATTTCATATAAAACTAAAATGTAAATATATATTTTAATATAAAACTAAAATATAAATATAAATATGTAATTTAATAAAAATATAAATATATAATTTAATATAAAACTAAAATATAAATGTATAATTTAATATAAAACATAATTCTAAATATATAATTTAATATAAAACATAAATATAAATCTATAATTTAATATAAAACATAAATATAAATCTATAATTTAATATAAAACATAAATATAAATATATAATTTAATATAAAACATAAATATAAATATATGATTTAAAATAAAACATAAATATAAATATATGATTTAATATAAAACATACATATAAATATATAATTTAATATAAAACATAAATATAAATATATAATTTAATATAAAACATAAATATAAATATATAATTTAATATAAAACATAAATATAAATATATAATTTAATATAAAACATAAATATAAATATATAATTTATTATAAAACATAAATATAAATATATAATTTAATAGAAAACTAAAATATAAATATATAATTTAATATAAAACATAAATATAAATATATGATTTAAAATAAAACAAAAATATAAATATATAATTTAATATAAAACATATATTGCTTGTATATTAATATGTATTTTAGGAATTGTCTTCTTCAACTCACTGCTGTTTGTTTTCATATTATTGTTGATATGTCCTATAGTTTTTTTTCCCTTCTTTCTCTCTTTAATCCTCTCCTTTGCACACTGAAAACATATAAACGATTTAAAGTATGTACAGTACATTTCACACCCATATCAATTACACACAACACCTTACATAATTACATGCTTTCTCTTGTTTATTTTTAGACCTGCTCTGTGTGCAGAATCCTTTTCTCCTATTTTATAGTCTTTTTTTCTTTTCTTTCATGCCCTGTCTTACTTTGTCTTTATCAAATAAATAATAAAAATAAAAATGGTAAAGGCACACTTATATTTATATTTGAGGTAGTGTTTATTTTTATTTATATATGTGCAAAATTTGAATGTAAATATTAGTGCTGTCAAATGATTAATTGTGATTTAATTGCATCAAAAAGTTCATATTTAGAAAATATATTTGTGCGTATGGTGTAGTCAGAATTATTAGCCCCCTGTTTATTGTTCCCCCAATTTCTGTTTAACAGGAAGATTTCTTCAACACATTTCTAATCATAATAGTTTTAATAACTCATTACTAATAACTGATTTATTTTATCTTTGCCATGATGACAGTAAATATTATGTGACTAGATATTTTTCAAGACACTTCTATACAGCTAAAAGTGACATTTAAAGCCTTAACTAAGTTAATTAGGTTAACTAGGCAGATTAGGGTAATTAGGCAAGTTACTGTATAATGATGGTTTGTTCTGTAGACTATTGAAAAAAATCTATAGCTTAAAGGGGCTAATATTTTGTCCTTAAAATGTATTTTTTTATTTATTAAAAACTGCTTTTATTCTAGCCGAAATAAAACAAATAAGACTTTCTTCAGAAGAAAAAATATTATCAGACATACTGTGAACATTTTCTTTGCCCTGTTAAACATGATTTGGAAAAATATAAAAATAATAATAATAATAATAAAATAAGAAGGGGGCTAATAATTATATATAATTATATATATATATTATAATTATATATATATAAATTATAGATCATATAGATAAATTTAGATTATACATATAAAATTACATATAATGAAAATGATACATACGTACATATGTAAATATTTTTGTATATTTTTGTATGTGTGTGTACTCATACATATATACATAAATATACACAGCACATGTGTATATATTATGTAAATACAAACTTATAGCTTATACGATAAGTTAACAACATTAATAAATACATATGTAAATACATTTGTCGTATTTTTGCACTCTAAGTATGTGTGTATTTATGTAAATAAATACAGAACACACACACACACACACACACACACACACACACACACACACACACACACATATACAGTTGAAGTCAGAATTATTAGCCTCCTTTTGAATAATGTTTTTTTTATATTTCCCATATGATGTTTAACAGAGCAAGGAAATTTTCACAGTATGTCTGATAATATTTTTTCTTCTGGAGAAAGTCTTATTTGTTTTATTTCAGCTAGAATAAAAGCAGTTTTTAATTTTTTTTAAACCCATTTTAGGTACAAAATTATTAGACTTTTTAAGCTATATTTTTTTTCAATAATCTACAGAACAAACCATCGTTATACAGTAACTTGCCTAATTACCCTAACCTGCCTAGTTAACCTAATTAACCTAGTTAAGCCTTTAAATGCCACTTTAAGCTGTATAGAAGTGTCTTGAAAAATATCTAGTAAAATATTATTTACTGTCATCATGGCAAAGAGAAATAAATCAGTTATTAGAAATTAGTTATTAAAACTATTATATTTAGAAATGTGTTGAAAAAATCTGCTCTCCGTTAAACAGAAACTGAGGGAAAAAAATAAATAGGGGGGCTAATAATTCAGAGGTAGCTAATAATTCTGACTTCAACTGTATATGATGTAAAATACAAACATTTGTTATGGATGTGATTAGTCGTGATTAACTCTTCGACAGCACTATTTGTAATTATGTCAAAGATTTACTCATAATGTCATAGTTTCTGGGTAAATCCTACAGCATGTTTATGTCCAGTGTGTAATCTCAGTGTCATCTATGTGTTCTGCAGAGTGTTGAAGAACAGCCGAGATCTGCGTGTCATCCATGAAGATGCTTTTAAAGGAGCTTTAGGCCCGACTGTGCTGTAAGTGATCCTGAAACACTGGAGACAGAAATACTTGCAATGATAACAGTACATACATTTTTTTCAAGATACAACTATTCAGCTTCAAGTGACTGTAATTAGGTCAGCTAGGGTAATTAGGCAAGTCATTGTGTAACAGTGGTTTGTTCTGTAGACCAGTGGTGCCCAAAGTGGGGTCGGCACCATGGACAATGAGAGGGGGTCGCTTGGTGATTTACAAAAATATTAAAAATCTATTAAAATTAATATATTTTATCCATAACATAAACATAGTCACATTAAAAATACAACATGCACATAAAAAGCCGTCAGTATTCAATTTCATTTCCATTGGATTGCGACTCCAGGGCCCGGTTTTTCAAAAGTAATCCACTAGGATTTTGGATAAGGGATTGGATCAAATCTTGAAAATGGGTTTTTCAAAAGAAAAAACGGATTACATAATCGGATTAGATCACGTAGTCCAATCTTTGTTTTCATCCGGATCAAACCTTTAGTTTGGGTTTTTCGGACCTTTTTTGTAGGATCTGGATCACTTTGATCCAAAAAACATGGATTAAACTGATCCCATCAGAAGGGTGGATTTAGCGTGGATTTCATGCCTAAAATGTCATGAAAACTTAAAAAATTTATTAAACAATACTATTTTTGGATCATGCAGTATCTTACGAGATATACTATTTATTCATAAGGTTTTAATTTTATTTGTTCATCTGTCAGGCTATAGTGATTATTGGCTTTAACGTATTTAGCCTTTCAGTATAGGCCTCCAGCAAAGTAGAAAGAGTTTGGCCTCATAAAATAATCCCCCAAACAGCTGTCAAAACTGACCAAAAACAATACATTTTATTCCGTCACTAATTGATATATATATATGTATTCATCACAATGGAAAATATTTTTCTTATTAGAATATTTATTAATGATAATAGCAATGATTACAGAATAAACAAATAATGCAAGAAATGGCAATGACTGATTTTTGAAATCTCTTTCAACAATTGCAAAAAGCACAGCTTCACCTGGCAGAGAAACAACTGACTCTAACCAAACTGCAGCAAACCAAGGTCAGACTTGAGATCCCCCTCCTAAAGAATACGCTTCACATCAGATGAGGAAGTCTGAGATTATTGTGGAGTTTTTGACATTAAGTCTTTTTTTATTTACATCTATATTTGAAACTTATTATAAATATCCTCAATGTACAGTGTTTGTGTTGTAGGTCTCAGATGAGCGGACTGCTGGAAAAGGATGGGGTGGACTTTTTCTTGTTTTTTTATTTATTATTATTATTATTATTATTAATTTAATATTTATTACATTTTCTTTGTTTTCATAAAAAAAATAATAAAGTTATATTGGCCCCACGCTGGCTATTCTACTTGTTGCTCTTTACATATCTATAGTTCTACATTGTGATTTCCTATCCTGTTTGAGCACTGGTAATCCAGATTTAGTGATCCTGAAAAGTTCCTATCCAGATCAGATTGATCCAATCCAATGTTGCTTTGAAAAACTGGCTCAAAAAGTAAGCTGGATTACCTGATCACAGATCTCAAAAACAGAATTACTAAATCTGGATCAATTTGATCCGGATTAAACCTTTTGAAAAACCGGGCCCAGGGTACGGTTTTTCAAAAGGTTTAATCCGGATAACATTGATCCAGATTTAGTAATCCTGTTTTTGTGATCCGTGATCCAGCTTATTTTTTAAACCAGTTTTTCAAAGCAACATCGGATTGGATCAATCTGATCTGGATAGGAACTTTTCAGGATCACTAAGGCTGGATAACCAGTGCTCAAACAGGATAGGAAATCACAATGCAGAACTAAAGATATGTAAAGAGCAACACATAGAATAGCCAATGTGAGGTCAATATAACTTTATTTTTATTAGAAATGAAAACACACACATTTAAAAAAACAACTAAAAACAAGACAACCCCCACCATATCCTCTTCCAGCAGTCTGCTCATCTGAGACCTACAACACAAACACTGTATATTGAGGATATTGATAACAAGTTTCAAAGATAGATTAAAATATAGACTTAATGTCAAAAACTCAATAATTTCAGATTTCCTCATCTGATGTGGAGAGAGCAGCTTGTCTGAGCGTAGCCTTTAGGAGGCAGATCTGAAATCTGGCTTTAGTTTGCTGCAGTTTGGTCAGAGTCAGTTGTTTCTCTGATAGATGAAGCTGTGCTTCTGCCCTTTCATTATGTTGGCTTGAGAAAGCCAACATACTGTTATACTACTCTGTCCTTGAAAACAAACGTATCTCCTCCTAGGTCGTTCATGCCACAAGGCCCAAATGTGGTCAAAATGTGCCTTCTGCATTCAAGATTGTTGCTATATCTCCTCATGCCTGTAAGACTTATCATTTTTAAATAAAAAAATGTTAAATATTACATTTTTATAATCCGGGCATATAAAAAAATTATACAAGCCCCAAATTTGGCCAAAAGTTGTATTAAGATGCGGTAGATTTTGTTGCTATATCTTTAAGGTTTATCAGACTTATAGTGGCAATATAAAAAAATATGGCAAGCCATTTTTTACTTAAACTTCCCAGAGATGGATTGCAGCTGGATGGGCATCCACTGCGTAAAACATATGCTGGATAAGTTGGCGGTTTATTCCAATGTGGTGACCCCGGATTAATAAAGGGACTAAGCTGAAAAGAAAATAAATGAATTAATTAATGAATTAAAAGCCTGGGTGCTGGTCCTCAGAGGGCTCTTATTTTGTGGGCTACATCACGAGCTCAGATTTGGTTGACCAATCAGAGGAAAATGGGCATTTCAGCACCGTCTACATGTGTAAAAATCATGGTTTGGGGTTACATTAAGTATGGGTGTGTGTGAGAGATCTGCAGAGTGGATGGCAACATCAACAGCCTGAGGTATCAAGACATGTGCTGCCCATTACATTACAAACCACAGGAGAGGGACAATTTTCCAGCAGGATAGCGCTCCTTCTCATACTACAGCCTCCACATCAAAATTCTTGAAAGGTCAAGGTGCTCCAGGATTGGCCAGCTTTGTCACCTGAAATGAATGTTATTGAGCATGTCTGGGGTAAGATGAAGGAGGAGGCATTGAAGATGAATGCAAAGAATCTTGATGAACTCTGGGAGTCCTGCAGAAATGCTTTCTTTGCCATTCCAGATGACTTTATTAATCAGTGATTTGAGTCATTGCAGAGATGTATGAATGCAGTCCTCCAAGCTCATGATGGAGTCAGACACAATATTCATTCTGTTTCCACTGCAGCAGGACTTTATATTCTATACTAGACATTATTTCTGATCAGTGACGAGACTTTTGTCTAAGCAAAGTTGACCGTACTGTCCTAATGAAACCACTAAAAATCAAGGCATGATCATATTATATTGTGGTCAAGGGTAATCTAGATGTCACGTTAGCGAGATCAAACAGGAACAAAAGGTGCAGATTCTAATGCAGATTTTAATATAATATTGTGTAGAAATAGTAACAAAAAAATCCAAAGTACAAAGTAACAAACAAACAAGGAACTCAAACAGATTAAACTTAAACTAGACTCAGACTATGACAGGATACTAAACTAGATTCAGGATGACAAGATATAAACTGGATTCAAGAAACACATACCAACAAGGACGACAACATAGACAAACGACGCAGTAAAAAACAGAGGTGGAATGGTTGTATGAATAGTCCAGGAAATCAACGGTAAACAAACACAGCTGTGATAGCAAATCAGTGTACGTGGACCCGGTGTAATGCGCGTGGTATGTATGGACTTGTCGTTTTTGGGCGCTGTAGTTCACTCTCAGTGTCCGTTGAACTACATCCACTGCGTAAAACATATGCTGGATAAGTTGGCGGTTTATTCCAATGTGGTGACCCCGGATTAATAAAGGGACTAAGCTGAAAAGAAAATAAATGAATTAATTAATGAATTAAAAGCCTGGGTGCTGGTCCTCAGAGGGCTCTTATTTTGTGGGCTACATCACGAGCTCAGATTTGGTTGACCAATCAGAGGAAAATGGGCATTTCAGCACCGTCTACATGTGTATAATGAATTTTAAAGTTGTTCATCCATTTTATACCCTAAATTAAAAAAACGAAAATCCAGCCAAAATCTCTTTTTTTCCTTTTTTTTTTTCTTTATTTTCCTTTTTTTATTTGAAAACGGATATAATAAATAGACGGAAGATACCCTGAGTGTTTATAACCACCTCTGAAAATAGTGGGGGTCATGAGTAACTGGCGTTGTTATTTTGGGGGTCGCGGGCTGAAAACCCCTGCTCTAGACAGTTTTAAAAATATTTAAATATTTAAAATATAATAATATATTGCTTAAGGGGGCTAATACTATTGACCTAGAACAAATATTACAGGAAATACTGTGGAAAAAGTCCTTGCTCTGTTAAACCTCATTTGGGAAATGACTTTGACTTCAACTGCATGTCTTTTTCCTGGAGCGAGAGCTTTGTGTTGGATGGCAATGCGAATGACTAAAGCTGTAAAACTCTGCTGTAAAACTTTACCTGCCTTGAGCTGTTAAGGAAACCTGAAGACCTGGCCTGTCTGGTTGAGCTGTGATTGATTACAGCATGAAAACAATTGAAGAGCAGGACTGAGCTTCTCCCAGGCAGGGGTGTGCCTGAATTCACACACTGAGCGTTTGTCATTTACTGCTGATAGGAGGAGACGTAATTAACATGCATGTTTATTTTCACTAATACGTTTTTTTTTTTACTTTATGCATAATTTAGCACTTTACTTTTTGGTGCATTTTAATGAGGACATATTATGCCCCCTTTGATGCAAAGATGATACATGCGTCATAACAGGCTTGTGAAAAGGGTCCATACAGACAGTACAAGTAAACAAAGGAATGAATGTCTGATTAGTGTGCATGTTGTTTTCCAGGGATGTCTCCTCCACGGCGCTGGAGACACTGCCCTCACATGGCATGGAGTCAGTGCTGATGCTGACAGCCCGCTCAGCGTTCGCCCTGAAGAAACTCCCTCCACTGAAGAGCCTGAAGAGCCTGAGAGAAGCACAGCTCACCTTTCCTAGTCACTGCTGCGCTCTGATCAACTGGGACAACAGCAGGTCAACACAACCCCTTCATAGTCAGATCAGTGTGTCACTAGCTGTGTTTTCATTCACCTATTTATATGTATATTTGGAATATTACAACAAAAACTGCTTAACCTTTGTGTATTGTTCAAATTCACTATCCTTTCGTTATGTTGGTGGCTGTTTTTGCCCCATTGACTTTCACTATAATGACATTTTGTTGATTGCAAAGCATTTGACGGCATATAATCATGCATGTGTGTGTGGTAAAATGTGTAGGTTTTACTGCTGATCATCAGTTGGCAGCATTAACCCTTTAGATAGGCCTGTGCAAAAAGGTTTCTGGCTTTTATATGGTGTTCTCTGTAGTAAAACAGCAGATTATAGTGTATGTGCAGAAATACACTTACTGTTTTACTATGTTTACTATGAGAACTGAGGTGCTTATATTTTACTTTCTCAAACATATCAAGTTAAGTGTTGAAATATCTCTCCTACACTCATACACCCACCAACACAGACACACTATACTCCATTTAGGCTACCTGAAAAAATTCTTGTTGTTGATCCCGGTTGTAAGAGCAACAAATATTAACTTGACATTTAGTTGATCATTTGGGAAAGTGTCAGAAGGTCGATTTTTTTAGATGAATCATCTGTTGAACTGCATCCCAATCATCACAAATACTGCAGAAGACCCACTGGAACCCACATGGACTCAAGATTCTCACAAAAATTAGTCAAGTTTGGTGAAGGAAAAATCATGGTTTGGGGTTACATTAAGTATGGGTGTGTGTGAGAGATCTGCAGAGTGGATGGCAACATCAACAGCCTGAGGTATCAAGACATTTGTGCTGCCCATTACATTACAAACCACAGGAGAGGGACAATTCTCCAGCAGGATAGCGCTCCTTCTCATACTTCAGCCTCCACATCAAAATTCTTGAAAGGTTAAGGTGCTCCAGGATTGGCCAGCTTTGTCACCTGAAATGAATGTTATTGAGCATGTCTGGGGTAAGATGGAGGAGGAGGCATTGAAGATGAATCCAAAGAATCTTGATGAACTCTGGGAGTCCTGCAGAAATGCTTTCTTGCTATTCCAGATGACTTTATTAATCAGTGATTTGAGTCATTGCAGAGATGTATGGATGCAGTCCTCCAAGCTCATGATGGAGTCAGACACAATATTCATTCTGTTTCCACTGCAGCAGGACTTTATATTCTATACTGGACTTTATTTCTGTTCAGTGACAAGACTTTTGTCTAAGCAAAGTCAGACCTTACTGTCCTAATGAAACCACTAAAAGTCAAGGCATGATCATATTTTATTGTGGTCAAGTGTAATCTAGATGTCACGTTAGCGAGATCAAACAGGAACAAAAGGTGCGGATCTAAGTGCAGATTTTAATATAATATTGTGCAGAAACAGTGACAAAAAATCCAAAATAACAAACAAACAAGGAACTCAAACAGATTAAACTTCAACTAGACTCAGATTATGACAGGATACTAAACTAGATTCAGGATGACAAGATATAAACTGGATTCAAGAAACACATGACGACAAGATAGACAAACGACACAGTAAAAAACAGAGGTGGAATGGTTGTATGAATAGTCCAGGAAATCAACGGTAAACAAACACAGCTGTGATAGCAAATCAGTGTACGTGGACCCGGTGTAATGCGCGTGGTATGTATGGACTTGTAGTTTTTGGGCGCTGTAGTTCACTCTCAGTGTCCGTTGAACTACAGCGCCCTCAGGTGGTCACTGACAGTCATGACACTAGAGGCCTTTGCCTTTCATTTAAGCCACTTCTGATACCAAATGATCAACGAGAAGTCAAGATCGTGCAGATTCGCACTCTATAACATCAGAAAGATCCGACCCTTCTTATCTGAACATGCAGCTCAACTCCTTGTTCAAGCTCTTGTTCTCTCCAAACTGGATTACTGCAACTCTCTACTAGCCGGGCTTCCAGCTAACTCTATCAAGCCTCTTCAACTGCTCCAGAATTTTTCAGCAGCACGAGTGGTCTTCAATGAACCTAAACGAGCACATGTCACTCCGCTGCTAGTCCGTTTGCACTGGCTGCCAGTTGCTGCTCGCATCAAATTCAAAGCTCTGATGTTTGCCTACAAAGTGACTTCTGGCCTTGCTCCTTCTTATCTGCTCTCGCTTCTGCAGATCTATGTGCCCTCCAGAAACTTGCGTTCTGTGAATGAACGTCGCCTCGTGGTTCCATCCCAAAGAGGGAAGAAATCACTTTCGCGAACGCTCACGCTCAATCTGCCCAGTTGGTGGAATGAACTCCCTAACTGCATCAGAACAATAGAGTCACTCGCTACTTTCAAGAAACGACTAAAAACTCAACTATTTAGTCTCCACTTCACTTCCTAATCTGCAATTGCCTCTCTGGATTTCACACTAACTGTACAAAAAAATAAAAATAAAATAAAAAATACTACTAATACTTCCCTTCTTAGACTCTACAGACCTGAAACTTGCCTACAGCACTTATTCATTGTTGCTCTTGGTTGTGTAAATTGCTTCCTTGTCCTCATTTGTAAGTCGCTTTGGATAAAAGCGTCTGCTAAATGACTAAATGTAAAATGTAAATGTAAATGTAAGTTATTATTTGTTATTCCTAAAACTGAGACAAGACTTTTGTCAGGTAGTGTAGAAGGCAGAAACTAAGCTTTTTTGCACTGTAACTGATGATCAACTGTAAAGATTACAAATTGTCCCTCTTCCAAACAGGGAAAAGCAGCAACAATCCAGAACGCATGATTATATGCTGCCATGGCTTTGCAATCAAAAAATGTGATTATAATGGAAGTCAATAGGGCAAAAACAGCCAAAAGCGTAGTCAACCTGAACAATGTGTATTATTGAGAAAAATTCCAAAGCAACTACCTAAAATATGAATCATCTCATTTTAAACGGGGTCCTCTACCTACACACAAGGCAGATAATGCAGTGTATTAATGCATTCACTCATTCATTTTCTTTTCGGCTTAGTATTTTTATTAATCTGGGGTTTCCACAGCAGAATTAACCGCCAACTGATTCACACTGTGTTTCACACAGCAAATGCCCTTCCAGCCACAACACAGTACTGGGAAACACCCATACACTCTTGTATTCACACAGACACATTCACCTATAGCGCATGTGTTTGTACTGTGGGGGAAACCGGAGCCCCCAGAAGATAACCACACCAACACTGGGAGAACATGCAAACTCCACACAGAAATGCCAACTGGCCCAGCCGAGACTCGAACCAGCAAACTTCTTGCTGTGAGGTGACAGCACTACCCACTGCGCCACCGTGTTGCTCGCATCAATGCAGTAAACAATAAAAGTTAACAGTTAAGTAAATATAAAATCAAGACAACGTAATAATTCACCCACACACACATACACAAGCGCTCAAAGAGCTGTCTAGCCACACAACAATATGCATCTTTCACAATATTAATGCCACAATAATTATTAACGATATTACAACACCTTTTACTGAAATATAAATATTCAACCATGTGCAAACAGAAATCAGAAACAAACACAGGTATCCTGTAAATAATGTACAAGAGTATTTCTAAGCATCTAAAAATAAGGTAAAGATTGAATAGAAACTGGCAAATTAATCCAATCATCAAATGCTTTAAATTTAAATGAAAAGATGCCACTTTCTTTATTAATTCTAGGGACAATAAAAATATTTAATAAATAAAAATACAGTATTATTTAATACATAAATAAAGTAAAAAGGCGGTCTCAGTGGTTAGCACGAAGCAAGAAGGTTGCTGGTTCTAATCCCGGCTAGGTCAGTTGGTATTTCAGTGTGGAGTTTGCATGTTCTTCCCATGTTGGCATGGGTTTCCTCTGGGTGCTCCGGTTTCCCCTGTTCAAACACATGGGCTATAGGGGAATTGAGTTAGCTAAAGTGGCCATGGTGTATGAGTGTCGGTGTTTCCCAGTACTGGGTTGTGTCTGGAAGGGTATCCACTGTGTAAAATATATACTGGAATAGTTAGCGGTTCATTCTGCTGTGACGACTCCTGATAAAAAAGGGACTAAGCTGAAAGAAAATTGATAAATAAAGTATTTAAAAAAAGGCCCACAGTGGCTTCTCCTAGAAAACTGATATTATTTCTGTTTGATTTTGACACCAGTTTATTGGGGAAGGGATGATTTTGTTCTCTTGGACTCACTCGATTGAAACGCTGCCTTTTCTTCAGATGCTATGCACTATTCCAGTTTTGCACATGAGTCTAATTTGCATGTTTAAATAGAAACATAGCCACTGTGAAGAGTGAGACGTCATAAAAACATTACAGTGATGAGACTGCAAACAGATCCAATAAGAGCTCTAGACATTTAGACGAATATTAGAATCCATTGCTCATATTTAAAGCAGAGCACTGTCAGTATAATTGAAAATCATCATAACATTTAAACCTTTTCCTTTTATTACAGGGACGGTTCTGTCAACTCGGCTTTAAGAAACAGATCGTCATACTGTGGGGACAACAGTTCACCGGCTGAGTAAGACTCAAGTTTTGTTATTTCCTTTTTTTGTATTTTTTTAATGAAAATGGGTACATTATAGTGAAATATTATTCATTCATTCATGTCGGCTTGGTCCCTTATTTATCAATGGTCAACACAGTGGAGTGAACCGCTAAAATATTCCAGCATGTTTTACGCAGGGGATGCCCTTCCAGCTGCAACCCATCATTGGGAAACATACATGCACTCTCACATTCACACACATACACTACGGCCAATTTCAGTTCATCCAATTTACCTATACCACTTGAGTTTAGACTGTGAGGGAAACCCACACCAACACGGGGAGAACATGGAAACTCCACACAGAAATGCCAACTGGCCCAGCCGAGACTCAAACCAGCGGCCTTCTTGCTGTGAGGCGACAGAGCTAACCACTGTGCCACCGTGCTGCCCTGTAGTGCCCTGTTCTCCCCGTGTTGGTGTGGGTGTCCTCCGGGTGCTCCGGTTTCTCCCAGTCCAAACACATGCACTATAAGTGAATTAGTTTAACTAAATTGTATAAGTGTGTCAATGTGAAAGAGTATGGGTGTTTCCAAGTGATGGGTTGCAGCTGGAAGGGCATCCGCTGTGTAAAACATGCTGAATAAGTTGGCGGTTCATTTCGCTGTGGTGACCCCTGATGAATAAAAGAATTAAGCTGAAGGAAAACGAATGAATGAATTATTTAATAGTTTATTGTGTTTATAACTTTAATTAAATAATTATTAATAATTTAGTTGTGTTTTATCTTTCTTTTTTTATGTTTCTTTTTAATAATAATACTATTTATGTTTTATTTATTGTTAAATAAATTTTATAAATAATACATATACATTTTTAATTTAATTTAATTTAATTTAATTTTTAATTTAATTTAATTTTATTAAATTAAATTAAATTAAATTAAATTAAATTAAATTAAATTTAAGCACAGGGAGAACATGCAAACTCCACACAGAAACACCAATTGAGCCGAGGCTCGAACCAGCGACCTTCTTGCTGTGAGGCGACAGCACTACCCTTTGCGCCAATGCTTCGCACTTTAATTTAATTTAATTTAATTTAATTTAATTTAATTTAATTTAATTTAATTTAATTTAATTTAATTTAATTTTTAATTTAATTTAATTTTATTAAATTAAATTAAATTAAATTAAATTAAATTAAATTAAATTAAATTAAATTAAATTAAATTAAATTAAATTTAAGCACAGGGAGAACATGCAAACTCCACACAGAAACACCAATTGAGCCGAGGCTCGAACCAGTGACCTTCTTGCTGTGAGGCGACAGCACTACCCTTTGCGCCAATGCTTCGCACTTTAATTTAATTTAATTTAATTTAATTTAATTTAATTTAATTTATTTTATTTTATTTTATTTTATTTTATTTTATTTTATTTTATTTTATTTTAATTGCAGACAAAGGGATTAACCCTCCTGTAAAAGTCTTTTTAAATTATTTTAATTCAGCTAAATTCATATTTATTTTTATTGCGCTTTTTCAAAGCAGAACACTGAAACCAGTTAATTGCTTGTAAATTGAAACTGCGTCAGTCCAGTGTTTTACAGTTAAAGTTCAGTTTAGTTCAATTCAATTTAATAATGTAAATGTCATTGAAAAAAGTGGAAAGCCAAGAGTGGAAGAGCAATTCTTTAAAAGCACTTTACAGACCCAAGAATATCATAAATATATATCTATTTGGCAGAGTATTGTTAATTATTTTTTATTATAATAATATTTATTTTACAATGTGACAGTATTGAGTATCTCTCTGTTTATTTTTTCAGCCTGTCTGCAATCTCCTCAGATGATCCTCTTGAGTCAGATGTCATTGGATCGTCATCCGTCGAGGACACTTTCGGTAGCATCGACTTCCACTATCCAGACCTGGATTTATGCCAACAGCGCCAAGCACTTCAGTGCAGCCCCGAAGCTGATGCATTCAACCCCTGCGAGGACATCGCTGGATTCAGCTTCCTGCGGGTCGCCATCTGGTTCATCAATATCCTGGCCATCGCAGGAAACCTGGTCGTCCTGCTGGTTTTATTCACTAGCCGCTGCAAATTGACCGTTCCCAGATTTCTAATGTGCCATCTAGCCTTCGCCGACCTGTGCATTGGCATCTACCTGCTCATGATCGCAACCGTTGACTTGCGAACACGTGGACACTACAGTCATCATGCAATCGAGTGGCAAACCGGAGCAGGATGCGGCATCGCTGGATTTCTATCTGTATTCGGTGGCGAATTATCCATCTATACTCTATCCACCATTACAGTGGAGCGCTGGCACACAATCACTCACGCTCTCCGACTGGAAAGACGTCTGGGATTAAGCCAAGCATCGCTAATTATGACCATCGGATGGCTGCTTTGTTTAGCGATGGCACTCCTTCCCTTAATAGGCGTCAGCAGCTACAGTAAAGTCAGCATGTGTTTGCCGATGGACATCGAAACGCCTTTATCGCAAGCTTACGTTATACTCCTGTTGCTCTTTAACGTTGGTGCATTTCTCGTGATTTGCGGATGCTATGTGTGCATTTACAGTGCAGTACGTAATCCTGAATTCCCAGGACGCGCCGCTGATGCTAAAATCGCGAAGCGAATGGCGGTTTTGATATTTACCGACTTTCTGTGCATGGCGCCTATTTCGTTTTTCGCTATTTCGGCAGCCTTTAAAGTGCCTTTGATCACCGTGACCAACTCCAAAATACTGCTCGTGCTTTTCTACCCCATTAATTCCTGCGCCAATCCATTCCTCTACGCCATCTTCACCAGAGCCTTCAGGAAAGACGCTTGTATTCTCCTGAGCTCCATGGGCTGCTGTCAAAGCAAAGCTAACTTGTACCGGATGAAGACGTACTGCTCGGAGAACATCAACCGAAGCAAAAGCAGCTCCGGCTCCAATGCGAACTCGAAAGGGCCTCGAGCCGTCATGTGGATGTCAAGCTTTCCTCAGTTAACACCTCGACCGCACATACAGAGAGTCTAGCTGGGTTTCCATCACTCCATGTTAATGCGCATTTTGAAGTATCGCATGAGAAACGAGTGATACATTTCAAATAAAAATCCCTTAAAGGTGCTATAGGTGCATTTTGGACTCCTCCAGTGCATGAATATACCAAAATGGGCTGTATTTTATTGATCTAAGTGCATGGATTAAAACGCACGGTGCACTTAGAATGTGTCTGAATTCACTTATTTGAGGGGTGGAAAAACCGTTGTCGCACCAAGCGCATAGTCTAAAAAGGTTGTCCTTATTCCCTTGATGAAGTTATGGATGGCTTTGAAGTAACGCACCAGTAACAAGTGACGAATTTTGAATAAAAATGCCTTGAAGCTGCTGTAGGTACCTTTTTGGAATTCTCTAATGCATAAAATTACAATTTTGGGCTCTATTTTAATGATTTATGTGCATGGATTAACACACACCAGGCACTTAGAATGTGTCTGAATTCACTTTCGCTATTTTAAGAAGGGGAAAAAAGGTTGTTGCACCAAGCGCATGGTCTAAAACGGTTGTCCTTATTTTCTTGATAAGTTATGGATGGTTTTGAAGTATCGCATGAGAAACGAGTGACACAATTAGAATAAAAATCCCTTAAAGCTGCTGTAGGTACGTTTTGGAATCCTCGATTGCATAAAAATACCATTTTGGGCTTTATTTTAAGGGTTTAAGTGCATGAATTAACACACACGGTGCACTTAGAATGTGACAAAATCCACTTTCGCTATTTTAAGAAGGGGAAAAATGTTGTCAAACCAAGCGCATGGTCTCAAAAAATTGTCCTTATTCACTTGATGAAGTTATGGATGGTTTTGAAGTATTGCATGACAAAAGAGAGACACATTGCGAATAAAAATCCCTTAAAGCTGCTGTAGATACATTTTTGGAATTTTCTAATGCATGAAATACAATAATGGGCTCTATTTTAATGATTTAAGTGCATGGATTAAAACACACGGTGCACTTAGAATGTGTCTGAATTAACTTTTTTGTGGGGTGGAAAAATTGTTGTGGCACCAGTCGCAAAGTCTATGATTAATTATCCTTATTCTTTTGATGAGTTATGGATGGTTTTGAAGTATCGCATGAAAATACGAGTGACAAATTGTGAAAAAAAATTCCCTTAAAGGTGCTGTAGGTCTGTCTTTGGACTCCTCTAATGCCTAAAAATACCATAATGAGCTCTATTTTAATGATTTAAGTGCATTGACTGAAGTGCACGATGCGCTTAGGATGTGTCTGAATCCACTTTCACTACTTTAAGTAGGAGAAAAAAACTGTCTTTGCACCAGGCGCATGGATTAAAAAGATTGTCCTTGTTTTCTTAACAACTTATGGATTTTTTTGTAGTATCGCATGAAAAACAAGAGACAAATTGCGAATAACAATTCCTTAAAGGTGCTGTAGGTAAATTTTAAAACTCCTCTAATGCATAAAAATACAATACTGAGCTCTGTTTTAATGATCTAAGTTTATGGATTAAAGCATCTGGTGCACTTACTATGTGTCTGAATCCACTTTCGCTATTTTAAAGGAAGGAAAAAACGTTGTCGCACCAGGCGCATAGTCTAAAATAGTTGTCTTTATTTTCTTAATAACTTATGGATGGTTTTACAGTATCACATGAGAAACGAGTGACAATTTGCAAATAAAAATCCCCTAAAGGTATTATAGGTGCATTTCTGACTCCTCTAATGCATAAAAATATCATAATTTTAATATTTTAATGCTCTAAGTGCATTAAATGAAGTGCACAGTGCACTTAGGATGTGTCTGAATCCACTTTCGCTATTTTAAGAGCAGGAAAAACTGCTGTCGAACCAGGCGCATAGACTTGTACTTGTTTTCTTGATGGTTTTGAAGTATCACGTGAGAAAGACAAATTTTGAATTAAAATCCCCCAAAGATGCTGTAGGTACATTTTAGACTCCTTTAATGCATAAAAATACAATAATGGGAACTATTGTAATGATCTAAGTGCATGGAAAAAATGCACAATGCCCTGAGTGTGAATCCACTTTGCTATTTTAAGAAGGAGCAAAACTTTTGTCACACCAAGCGCATAGTCTAAAACGATTATTATTTTAATAAGTTATGGATGTGTTTGGGATTTAACATGCATTAGACCAATCAGACTCTCATCTTTCATTGCCGTTAAGAGCAAATTGTGGTCATGCTATAGCATATTTGCTATTAAAGTGGTAGAAACTAGTCAATCTGGCAACCAGTGTGTGCATGATGTTGGAGGATGGGATGGGCTGTGTGAAAAAACTAACAAACACCTATGCAGTATTTTTAAAGTTGACTGCAATACCCAGTTCAACCACTAGGACTGTCAATTCTCCATACTTCACCCTCACAAAAAGGTTTTTATGATCAGTTGAGGGGGGCTAGACTTGCAAAAAAGGGTTAATGTGAAAAGCGTGTGATGGAAATGCATTTGCCGAATAAACACTGCATTCAAAATTGCCTACTACTCAAGTTGGTACTACATTTGAATTAGAATTCAATACACTACCTATATATTATTATTGTAAGTAGTATGAATAAAATTTGGATGTACTATATCTGCTAATTATTATCACATGACCTACCAGTGTCAGTTGCACCGATTTGCTCCCATTCATGAATTCTCTTGGATGAGCATTATGGGATAGCGTAGCATCCATTTGATCCTCACTTCAGAATCTCAACCAAAGTAGTAGGTCATCCGGGTACTTCTAGCCTACTGTTTTTCCAATACTATGAATTGCTCGGCTCACATACTGTTTTTCCCATATATATAGGAGGGAATTATGCGATTTCGGACATAGCCTCTGATGTAGGGAACATTATACACGTGACTCCTTTATTCTTGTTTACTGTTGGTTGCTAGGTGACCAATACTACAGTCAGCCACTCTAAAAACTTGATGCACCTAATTCGCAATTGGGATTTTTTCCTGTGTTGTGAACTTTAAAAAGATTGACTTCACGGTGGATGGAAACCTGGCTCTAATGTGAGGCGTTCTGCCCTTGAACTTCTGCTGGATCTTATCTGGGAGGCTCGGGGAAGATTATAGGTTTTTTTTTGAAGGACAGTGTAACTCATTTTCACTCATATCTCTCAACGCATGGACTCATGATTCAGAAGACAGAGCATGTCTATTGAGAGAGACTGCAGAGTTTAAAGGGATAGTTCACACATAAATGGAAAGGGGTTGTAAACTTTTATGAGTTTCTTTCTTCTGTTAAACACAAAACAAGTCATTCTGGAAAATATTGGAAATGGCAGCCATTGACTTCAATAGTAGGAACTAAAAATGGCTGTTTATTTCTGACATTTTCAGTATATCTTAATTTGTCATCAATGAAAGAAAGAACTCAACATGGAGGATGAGTAAATGATGACAGAAGTTTCATTTTTGGGTGAACTATCCTTTTAAAAGTGGCTTTTGGGTATCAAAATGTATCAAAAATCCCAATTTCTATGGGATCTTTCATCTGTTGCAGATATTGACTGAGGTGGGAGGCATCAGACTACTTGTAAACATTATGTTGTAACTCTTCACATGCTACACGAGTCAGAATTCAGGATTCCAGTCTGCGTATTCTTTTATATAATTGCTGTAAAAAGTTTAATTTGTCATTTTATGTTTTTACAGGTTTTCTTATTTAAGTTGTATTTTTAACTTATTTAACTAACTAATTGAAGGGATAGTTCATCCAAATCTGACAATTTTGGTATTTACCCATCCTTACTTGTCAAAACCCTGTTTGAGTCTTATATGTTGAGCACAAAAGGAGATATGTTGATAGTCATTGACTTCCATGGTATTTGTTTTTCCTACTCTGGAAGTCAATGGCGTTTTTAACCCAACATTCTTTAAAATAGTTCTTCTTTTGAAAAGAGAGATGGAGAGGGGGAGGAGTAAATGTTCATTGTCGTGAACTATCTCTTTAACTAGTTTCAATCGCTGATGTTTGGAAAAACGTGCTGTTTTTATACTGTTCAAGAGCGCCGCGTTGTGGCCGGTTTAAATATTGTTTTGTAACAATACAATTGTATATTTGAAATTAAATTACTGTGGTAGATTTTAAGTGCCAAAATAGTGTTTTAGGTCTAATAAAATTGAGGCAAAATGTAAGTGGATTCTATGGTGTGTTTTATTTCAGTAATTTCTATACTATAAATGCTCATTCAGTAGGCCTTTATTTGCTTAGGAAAATCAAAGAACCATTTTTTCTATTATGTATTATTATTTTGTTTTCACTTTATTGTTTCTGTCTTTTTTCTTAATTTTATCTTTCTTTCTTCCTTTTTTTCTTTATTTAGTCACACTTTCTTTTGATGGTCCATTTGTTAAATTTAAGTTACATTGCAACTAATTCTCATTTGGTTATATGTAGACTGTTAGGTTGAGGTTGGGGTTAGTGTAAGTTGTCGTAAATGCAAAGTTTCTTATTGTCAGACAAATGTCTGTTGAAGAATCAGCAGATATTAAGCCTACTTATACTCAAATGGACCATCAAAATAAAGTGTTACCCTTTCTTTTTTCTTTCTTTCTTCTTTTGTCTTTCTATCTTTCATTTTACTTTGTTTCTTTTTCCTTTCTTTTTTCTTTCTTATATTCTTTCTTTCATTTCTTTCTTTCTTTCTTTTATTTCTTTCTTTCATTTTTTTCTTTCTTATTTTTCTTTCTTTCATTTCTTTATTTTCCTTCCTTCCTTCTTTCCTTCCTTCCTTCTTTCTTTTCTTTCCTTTCTTCTTTCTTTCCTTCTTTCTTTCTTTCTTTCCTTTCTTTCTTTCTTTTTTTTCCTTCCTTCCTTCCTTTCCTTCCTTCCTTCTTTCCTTCCTTCCTTCCTTCCTTCCTTCCTTCCTTCCTTCCTTCCTTCCTTCCTTCTTTCTTTCTTTCTTTCTTTCTTTCTTTCTTTCTTTCTTTCTTTCTTTCTTTCTTTCTTTCTTTCTTTCTTTCTTTCTTTCTTTCTTTCTTTCTTTCTTTTGCCAGACTTAAATAATGTCTGAATGAAGGTGAAAGGTTGTAAAAGTCAAAGTGAAAAATGTTATTAAAAATGAACATGGATATCTTAATGCTAAAAAAATTAATCCCAAAACTAATTAATCTAATTTAAATTACACTTATTTACAAATGTATCACATACTAGTTTTTGTAACTATTTATTCTTTGATTTAGTAATCTTTTATTTTCATGTTGTCCTGTATATATGTTTTCATTTTTTGCTTCATTGCATATTTAATTAAATAATACGATTTAACAATTAAACATTGCATGACTTTATGAGTACAAAGGTAAAACTACAAGATAATGAGAAATACAAAAAATAATAACTAATAATAATAATAAATATAAATTAATTTATAAATTAATACAACAAATTACAGAGTAAAAACATTTAAAAGCTCATTATACAGTTTGTACACTTTTTTGTTATAAAACTGCAATAGTGCTGTTATTAAATAATTTAAATTACAAATACATTTCTGCAATTTGGGCAATGCTGAGAAAAATGTACATTTATGAACAACACATTCCCTATGAAATAAATTGCTTATAATGTGATGTTTATCATGAGAAAAACAACAAATACTGTATTTATTTTATTTAAATAACAATAACATATAACATTTTACAGAAAAAAACTATAGATATCAGGGGGAGATAAGTATAAACAATATAAACAGACAAACTGTACAAACATAAAAAGTTATTAAATACATTATAAAACAATACAAGTTTTTTAAGTGCGTCTGACTTTCATGTTAAAAGAGTCTTCAGTCCTGGTAAAAAAAAAGCACATTTCAGTCACAAATGCCGTGTATTTGTAAACTTACCCCATTGCTGCTTGTGTGACGTCACGAGAGGCACCGCGTTTCACCATCGAGAGCGCGCGCGTGGACTCTGAATTCGTCACGGCCAAACAAAACACACACGCGCGCGCGCACACACACATTCCTTCGTGTGTTAAATGACCACGACAAAAGTGAAGTAAGATGTTATTTGCCCTGCAAGTGCTCTGCTTCATATGTGTGTAGATCTGACATCTTTATGCGAGAGGAAGAAGAAGAAGAAAAAGCGTCATGGACTTTATTTTAGGAAAAAGTTTCTCCGCGATGTTTCGCTTTTTGACTCCGCTGCTTCTCGGATTGTTTTCCCAGTCAGTCAGCCTGACAACTGGTAAGATGTGTAGTTTTCTCAAAGTTACTCAAATGGCGTTGTTTAGGTTTTAAACGAGGCCGACTCTTAAACTTTATCGTTCAGAAAGTTTATTGTGAAACTTCTGCACGTGAGGAGATTTGTGTTGTGTTGTTAAATATGGGGGTTTGATATGTTTTGGTCAAATTGAATTAGTTTATCTTGGTCAGACTTTACATTAAGGGTTCTTTAGTTAATATTAATGTGGGGAGATTTGTTTTGTGTAGGTAAAAATTAAGTTTTGCTGTGTTTTGGTCAAACTAAATCAATTTATCTTGATAATTTTACAATAAGGTTTCATTGGTTAATGTGAGGAGATTTGTTTTGTGTAGTTTAAAATTAGATTTTGCTCTGTTTTGGTTTTGAATTAACTTATGGTCAGTTTTTATTAAGGTTTCATTATTTATTGTGAGGAGATTTGTTTTGTGTAGTTAAAAATTGGGTTTTGCTGTGGGTTTTGTTTTGGTCTAATGTTATCAATTAATCTTGGTCAGACTTTACAATAAGGTTTCATAATGTTAGTTATTGTGGGGAGATTTGTTTTGTGTAGCTAAAAATTAGGTTTTGTTATGTTTTAGGTCGAATTGAATCAATTTATGTTGGTCAGACATTGAAGTAATGTTTTATTTAGTTATTATTAATGTCAGGATATTTGTTTTGGGTAGTTAAAAAGGAGATTTTGTTATGTTTTGGTCAAATGTTATCAATTTTATCTCTCACACTTTACAATAAGGTTTCATCACTTATTGTTAGTTGATGTGAGATTTGTTTTGTGAGTTAAAAATGTGGTTTTGTTGTGTTTTTTTTTAATTTTTAAGGATTTTCAATGACCACAGAGAGTCAGGACATTTATTAATGCCTTATTAAAATCTAAATTTATGATTGTCCACGTTAATGCACTTTGAGTTACCACAAGTAAACTAACTTTATTTCGATTAACATTAACAAATATGAATAAATACTGTAATAAATATATTGTTTATTGTTTGTTTATCTTACTAAATACATTAACATTAACTAAAACAAACTTGGTATTGTGTAAAGTGTTACCTTTATATATGGAAACAAAATATCAACAAAAACCTTTATACAGTATTTGTCAATCAAAACAACTTATTTTATTTGTTTGATTTAATACTTATTTGTTTGACAGAACCTATAATTAAATATGTCAGAACACTATTTACGAACACTCATCATAATATATATTATGATTACACCTTCAGATACCTACAAGCAACTTCTCAAACAGTTAGAATACAAAATATTAGTGTAGAAGATTAAATGTTGAAATAATCTGCCCTAGTTTCCTCAAGTTTTAGACTCTAAATGAGTTCACTCTCTTTCTCTTTTGGGATTTGACTCGTTTAAACCTAATAATGTTATTCTACAGTACTGAGGTGGGTTTTGAGGTATTTGTTAGAGGTTTATCTGTAAAATGTCATAAAAATAAACCTTATAGATTAATTTGTGATATGAATAGGTCAATGAATTGAAACATTAAAAGTTCAAAAGTTCTGCAATTTTAGACATTTTCAGGCTGAATCTCATCTAATGTGTCTGAAATTTCCAATATGTTTTCCCTTCCTGATACTGATTCTGATGGCTCCAGCTTTCAGGTATCGGCTAATCGATACCTGGGTGTGTTTCTCTAACATTTTCTTGATTACACCCATGCGGCCATTAAGGACATACTCAGATGTAAACAACAGCATGGATTGCATCACAATCTACTACTGAATATGTTGTTTTTGTTATTTACACTGTCTAAACCCTGTAAAACCCGTGTAAGCTGCTAAATCATAAGAATAAGCAGGGAAAAGGTGTAATATTTTGACAAACTAAGTTTAATAGGGTCTCTTCTGCTTAAATTGTTGTAACATTTGCCAGTCCTTACTAACTTACTTTTTAAGTATTTTTTTATTTAATTTCTTCTGCTTTAGCTCTTTAATTATTCAATGTGTCCCCCCGTGTCCGACTAATTATTGCAGGCCAAAGCATGATAGTAACTGATCATTTTCAGAAGCAGAAAACTTCAGAGTGTGCAAGTTTCCTTTGCTCTACAATATGATGGATTATGAAAAGACTGATTTGGCGAGGAACTATACTTTCATTCTGACGTAATAATCAAGGAAATATGCTGCTGTACTATATAGTCCTGAGCTATGTAACTATCTAACTGTGCTGCATAAATATCATTGCATATGCTGCAGTCTTTGTATGACCACAAATTTCCTTGATTATTACACTAGATTAAAAACCTTATAAAAATATAGAAATGCTTTGCTATACAAACAAACATAGAAGCATACACTGTAAAACTCAACAGTCAACTTTATCAAATGAAGTGTAGTTAACTCAAAATTGACTGAAAGTGAAATCTACTCAACTGAAAAGAGTTTTGAACTCAGTGTTGAAGGTAATGGGTTTATTAAATACCTCATTACTTCAACTTAAATAGAGTAAGTTCACAGTTCTCATATAGATTAGTTTTTTTAATTGAAATGGTTTGTAGCAATCGGTTTTCTCAAACAGTTTGAATTGCCCTAACTTATTGGGTTTTACAGTACTCAGTTGGTTTGAGTTCTCTTCATTTATTGGGGTTTACTGTTCAAATTGCTTCGTTTACTCAAATGGATTAAGTTCACAGTACTCATTAGCATTCGTTTTTTTAACTTAAATGGTTTGTTGCAATCGGTTTCCTCAAATGATTTGAGTTACCTTAACTTATTGGATTTTACAGTGTAGAAGTGTTACTAAAAACAAAGTGCTTTATGCACCAGATGCTTTATTAGAAGCACTTCTATGTTTTCGCTACATAAAGCATATGCCAGAGTAATTGGTGGTTCATTCCGCTGTGACTACCGCTGATAAATCAGGTACTAAGCCGAAGGAATGTGACTGACTTCTATGTTTGTTTGTGTAGCTAAGCTTTTGTTGATATATTTTATATGTTGTTCTGTCTTAGCGATATTGTCCATATCAAAATTTAGCTTCCACAGCTATAACTTGTTTCCATAGCTGAATTTTATTTGTTTACTTCTTATTATATTCTATATTTTAGATAATTTTTTATTTTATATATATTTTTTGAGGTCACAGGCAGTTGTATGAGCATTTCATTGCATATTGCACTGTGTATGTGACAAATACAGTTTGAATAGGGAGTGAGAGTACAGTTCCTATCACTGTAGAAAGTAGCAACATTTATTTCTCCGTCGCTCTTCGTACACGATTTAACTACAAAAAAGTCAACTTGAAATGGGAAAATCATCGAAATTATCTTTTTTGAACGAGATCCTAATGGTCTAATCCATTTCAATGACCTATGCTAAGCTAACAGTGCTCTGGCTAGACCCGGAAATTGGCTGAATGGATTCAAAAAGGATAAAACCAAACTCTTTAACTCTATTCTTTCTTTCTTTCTTTCTTTCTTTCTTTCTTTCTTTCTTTCTTTCTTTCTTTCTTTCTTTCTTTCTTTCTTTTTTTCTTTCTTTCTTTCTTTCTTTGTCTTTTTTTCTTTCTTTCTTTCTTTCTTTCTTTCTTTTTATTTGACAAAAAAAGTAGGTGAATGCACTTAATTCATCATGGATATACACAAAGTTTGAAAAAAAAAAATCTTATTTCATTGTGGTTATTGATGTGAAGATTATACAGATTACACTCCTCCCGGTTGCATTATAAGTATAAGTAAATACAAATACAATAGCAAAAAAAGCAGTCCATCAACATACTTTTCTGCTCATGACAAAATAGTTTTTTATTACTAAAGCATTGATTAGCATTGAATTGTGCATCGGTTATATGAGTTCTGGTTGATCTAGTTCAGTGAATTCAGAGATTTACTGTCTTGTAGTAGTAAATATGAAATTATGTCTCGATGAGAGCAGCTTGTGCTTCCTTTTGTTACAGATTATATCAAAGAAAGAATTTCCTTTTGCTCCTGGAGAGCAGAAAGCTGCTTTTTTCCACTGCGTTACTGAAGCAGTGCCAGACCTGAGTCACCCCACTGCAAATATATATCCAATAAACAAGTGTTTCCCTTACTGAAAATTAGTGCGGCTGGACCACCAACAGCATAACTTGATATGGTACTACTCACTCTCAAGTGGTTAAAAACCTTAATGAGTTTCTTTCTTCTGATGAACACTGAAGATGGTAATCTGAAAATTGCTGGAAAACTGTAACTATCAGATTGACTTAGGGAAAAATATACTATGGAAGTCAATGGTTACAGGTTTTCAGCATTTTAAATATCATTTTCTGTGTTCAACAGAAGAAAGTGAGTAAAACAGGTTTATTACTTTTATTTATTTAATTTTATTTAGGTTTATTACAGGTTTATTTAATTGTTATTTTTTCATTTACAAGGATACTACAAATACTACAAAATAAATATTACAAAAAAATGAGTAAATTATGACAGGACTTATTGTGAAATATACTAAAATCTAGCAATAATTTTATTGCTAAATTATTTTGTAGTTTTTCAAAGTGCTGCGTTTAGTTGATCAGACAGTGCATTTAAAACAGAACGATTTGTTTTTATATTATTATTGCTGAAAATTACTGACACGTTAGCATTCCTGAATTTGAGATAAGCAAAAATAAAAAATAAAAAAAAAAAGAGAAGAAAACATGCTTCAAAAATTTAGAAATTTACATTCAGCAGAGATGCACTAACTTGCTTATCAAAACTATCTGACACTATACATTTTTAGTGCCAATGTCTTGCTTGGTTTGAGACTTGTGAAGCTGCACATTGATGGATTTGCTCTTCAGTGTTTGGACTTTTAGCAGTGAATATTAAACCACACTGAACTGAACTAAACTGAACTTCAACACTGAAAACTGGACTAACACAGTTTCAATTTTCTAGAACTGTTTAGCTGCTTTGACACAATCTACATTGTAAAAGTGCTATAGAAATAAAGATGAATTGAACTGAATTGAATTTTTACTTTACAAAATTTACAATTATATTGCAATATATACTTTTGAACTGAGATTCAAAACATATTACAGTTTTTGCAATGATTAGTACTGGTTAGAATCTGCAGCCATGGAAAAGAAAAACTAAGATTTGTTCAATAAGTTCACTTATTGATAATCCTTGACTTTACAGGGTTTATACAGGTTATGGATTTGAGTAAAATTATTCTGTAAAGGTCTGATAACATTTCTTACAAATTTCAAATATTATCATTTAGAACTTTTTTTGTACCTGTTGTGGTTGAAATTTTACTTGTGTTGTGGTGTGCTGGCGATAAAACACTTCTCAGTTTAAAATGTAGTTACTGTTTTGTCTAAAATGTAATATAAACATGTCAGAGAACATGCAGTTATGTATTGTAAGGTAAAAACATAGTAAATGACAACATTTTTATTTGAACTGTTGAAGAAATGTCTTCTAATATCCTAAAATAAATATTAAATCCAGTGAAACAAAGAATTTCTTTGTTTTTTTCATAGCTGTATGTGTAGGTAAATGTAGGCATTCTCATACTTCTTCACTGTCATGATATGTTTATATTAAGGCTGCATGATGTTGGAAAAAACTGACATTGCAATTTTTTTGTAATTATTTATTGAGATATCAATTCAGTTTCACCAAATGACTTAATCTATTAATATGGATTGGCTAGGAATAGGATTTAGCAGACTTGTGGGGGAAACTGGAGCACCCGGAGGAAACCCATGCGAACATGGGGAGTACGTGCAAACTCCACACAGAACCACCAACTGACCCAGCCGAGTCTCGAACCAGCGACCTTCTTGCTTTGAGGCGAACATGCTATCCACTGTGCTACAGTGCAGCCCTATATTGCTTCATTCTATGTATAATTCTATAAAATGCAGCTTTATTGAAGTTACAAATGGTAAAATTCCTTCTGACAGAATTCTTTAAATTCCTGAAATTTTCACACAGCCACAGTCACATTAAAAACATATGCATATAATAAACTTTCACTCCGGGGTGGCATGGTGGCTCAGCAAAAAGTTCACAAGAAGATTGCTGGCTGGGTTAGTTGGCATTTCAATGTGAAGTTTGCATGTTCTTCACATGTTGACGTGGGTTTCCTCTGGATGCTCCGGTTTCCCCTACCGAGTTGAAGAAACTAAATTGGGCTTAGTGTATGAGTGTGTGTGTGTGAATGTCAGACATATGCTGGAATAGTTGGTGGTAGTGCTCCTCGATTTTGGAAAAATCATAATCATGATTATTTTGATCATAATTGTAATCACGATTATTCAAAACAGTTAAAGTCAAAATTATTCGCCCTCCTGTGAATTTTTTTACATAAATATTTCCTAAATTATGTTTAACAGTGCAAGGAATTATACCAGTATTTCCTCTAATATTTTTACTTCTGGAGAAAGTGTGATTTGTTTTATTTTGGCTAGAATAAAAGCAGGTTTAAATATTTTAAAACCTATTTTAAGGTCAATATTATTAGCCCCCTTAAACAATATATTTTTTTGATTGTCTACAGAAGAAACTACTGTTATACAATGACTTGTCTAATTACACTAATCAAGCCTTTGAATCACACTTTAATCTGAATGTATTTTGAAAAATATCTAGTAAAATATTATTTACTGTCATCATAGCAAAGATAAAATAAATCATTTATTAGAGATGAGTTGTTAAAACTATTATGTGCAGAAATGTGTTTAAAAAATCTTCTTTCCATTAAACAGAAATTGGGGGGGAAAGTTTTACTAATATTCAGGAGGGCTAATAATTCTGACTTCAACTGCATATATACAGGTATTTTCCTTGCTGCAAAGGAAAGAGAAATTAATACAATAGAATAAAAATATGAAACAAACTGTGCATTAAGCATCTTCACTGTCAGAAAAACACCTCAACTACAAAAGTCCTTCAGTCAAGAGCAGTGAGGGATTTTCTCCTTTTGTTGTTTGATTAATGATGAAAACAGGTGGCAGCAGGAATAGTGCGTGGTGTCGCTTTAATGGTTTCTCTTTCACGTGTCTTTTGATTCTCAACTCGTTTGTTTATTACACAAATAAGGGTTAATATGAATAATCACTAAACACTGTGTTTTGATACCTCTTTGACCATTAAAGCGCTCACGTTAAGATGACTTTAGATGTGTGTGCTCTGCTCGTCTGTGCGAATGCTGACCGCATGCTGTTTGTACAGAAGCATGCGGTCTTGTTCGCGCCTTTAAAAACATGAATGATTCGAATGTACATTAATGAACAATGCGCATCACATGCTGCAAACGTTACATTACACTACATGCTTTTAGTCAATTTAATGTGAAGCTAAGCTTTGCAGAGCAACAAGTGTGTACAATTGAAAAGGGGGCAGTATATGATGCAATAACCGTTTATCTTGATTGATGGTTTTTCATAATCATTAGAAGCCAAAATTGAAATCGAAACCGGATTTTCTATTAATTGCACCGCTCTAGTTGGCAGTTCATTCCACTGTGGCGAGCCCTGATATATAAAAGACTAAACCGAAGGCAAATGAATGAATGAACTTTCACTCCAATGCGACTCCACAAATCCTTTGTGTTTTGATCTGTTGTGCTGGTCAACTATAGTCCCATCATATGAACTCAACATTGCATTGATGATAGTGGATGTGTTGAACCCATATATTGTGCAGCGCTAGGTTATATTAACAAAAGCTGTGATTTCCTCCAACAGCTGTCGTCAGTATGAAGCATCCACTGGCTGTTGTCCATCATGAAGGTTCATCTCACTGGGCTCGACAGGGCCGTTCTTTCCGTCCCACACATGCAAGCGAACCGCTGATGGTCCCGGCTCGAGCCCCCAGTGTGCATCTGTCCCAGGAGGAGATCCAGAGACTGCGTTTCAAGCCCACCGTGGGCACCATCCAGCGCTCCGAGGGGGCAGAGGTGCACTTCAATTGCTCCATCGACATCAATGACGTCAGCCAGGACCTCAATATACTGTGGTTTAGAAATGGCAAGGAAATCCATGACAGCATGCAGACCGCGATCTCCACTCAAGGCACAGTCAGCTTGCAGTCCACTATAAGGTAAATGAGAAATGAACCCCTTAAAGGGTCATGAAACCCCCTCGTTTAAGCAGGGCGTTTTCTCACCTCTACTTTGGAAAAAGTCTGAAAAGTGGGCGTGTCCATCTCCGTTTAGGGGGGAGTGTCGGAGGAACTAAAGTGGGATGGTGTGGGAGTGTCTATTTCGGCACGCTGTTTCAGAGACAAAACACACACACACAGGGGAGAAAGTCATGGTGTTTACATGGACATCTGTAGTCGAATTATTTGGCAAATTATTAAATGTTGGACTTTAACTGCAGTTTGGCTCTTTCATTCAGGGAATTCATTCATGTCCCTCCTGACAAACGAGATATTTGATTCGAGGAACTGCTGTAAGCGTGTATTTTTCATGCAATGTTTGATACCGCACGGCGAATGAGAGAAAATAAACCCTCCGCATTTCCCGGAAACTTAGATGCATACAGCAGGTAGTGTCAGAAAGCCGCGTGTGTTATTCCGGTCACAAAATGCGGTGAAAATCCTACACGAGGTTAAAGTTTGGTTGTGATGCTAACATGTTTACACTCAGTGCAATAGTTATTTCGATACGAACAAACTGAATAAACAAAGAGCACTGCTCGCTCACTTACCAAATCTGTAGAGACAGGACAATCACCATCAACTAGAGCCGCGTCTTTATTAAGAGGAGACTACAAGCGAATCCAGATCTCAGCGTTTGCAGATGAGAACAGCTCTCAGGTAAACAATGTTCCTCCTTAGACACTTAAGTTATTGTTGTCGAGCGTCGCGTACACTGTTAATCCACACTTGACTCCAGCTGCGCTCTCACAGAGAGAAAATGAAAACAAAACTTAACTGCAGCAAACTATAAAAGCAACACTTCACACTTGTTTTGCCAACAAAACGCGGGGTCTCTGTCGTCTAAACACTGTGACAGTAATGAATATTAATGAAGTTGCACAATAGAGCGCGCTGATTGGTTTGAACCAAGCTTTACTCATGCATTAATGCAACACACTGTAAGACGTAATAAGACTCACTCTGGCACAGACGTCCAGTCTGCACGCTGGAATACAGGCTATTATGTCATGGCCGTGACGCAGCTTCAAAAATTCGTTTCAAACCGGAAGTACGAATTAGCTTGAAATAACGCAAAAACAACCAATTTACACTTTTTAGTGAAATATAGGTGTCCTAATAGTGTTTTTAGCAAAAAAATGTTTTGTACAAACGCATTTCAGCTGCATGTCGCGTGGACTGTAATCCACACATGAGTCTGGCTGCACTCTCATATCGGGAAATGAAAACAAAACCTTCGTTGCAGCACATTTATAAACACGACACCGACGACCCGTGTCTACAAACGATTCTTCTTCTTCGGTGCGCCACGGCTCAAAGCAGATTTTTTCGTCTTTATATTACCAAAAGTGGATTCTGATACGCCCTGAATCTGTTTGCACCCTGCGCTTTGCACTTTGCACCTGGATTGTCAAAATAGAGCACCCCATAAACACAATCAAACCTTAAAAAAAACATTGTGGACCACCCCTTAAGGAAATATAAACCTGCTAAAAATGCTCCTTTTCAACAAACACTGATTATCTTCACTTAAAAAAAAGTATGACGAGTGGAATTTTAGCTAATTAATTTAATTACAGTAATTCATAAAAAAATATAAATAAAAAAATCATAATAAATGCATATACTTGCTCTTATATGATTTTTTAAAATTAAAAACTGCTGTAATTGTATTAAAATGTCTAATCAATCTGTAATTTCTTAATTGACTCTAGCACAGTTATTGCATTTAAAACATTTCTCACAACTGTACTGTTCAGTCATCTTGTTCCTTTTTTCTTTGCGAAAACATGTAATAGTCAGCTAATAGAGGTAAAAGTTTCATCAACAGATTTTTGAGATGTTTAGTTTCTGAACTGTTCTTAATTTATTCCCTGTGACGTCCTCTTTCAGCATTAAAAGTGTGCAGAGAGCAGATGCTGGAGAATATCACTGCAGACTCAGTGTCAGTAACAAGTTCATCGAGTCAAACTCCATCAATCTGGTAGTAGAAGGTGAGTTTGATTTTGCACACTTTCGCAATGGTATGCATCCTCCTACTGAATTATTGTGAAATTGTAATTCTCTTTCAAATATTTCCCAAGCGCTGTTCACTGGAGGAAATATTTTTCAAAACATTTTGAAACATAATTATTTTAATTACTAATTTTTAAATAACTAATTTCTTTTGTCTGTGTCATGATGACAGTACATTAGAGGTCTGCGCAGGACAATTTTTTTTAGTTCTGCTCCCACCAGATTTTATTCCACACCAATCACTCCTGCAGTATATTCAGCCTTTGTTTACCCACTGCCTGCTTAAAATAATTTTCCACCCAACCTGACCGATTTTGCTAAATTTAGATCTGGTTTCCAAAATCTCACATTTAAATTGGGTACTACCAAAAGAGAGAGATAACAGATAAAACTGTAGGTTGTGCAAGGATTGTAGGCTCATTGAAGTTTATTATAAACTAATTATGAGAGAATCACGTGCTTATGATTGAACACAGCTGGTCATGCATTAGCCAATTCATGACTTGCCAATTAGACGAATCCAAATCGACACCATAGACATGCTCCAGTAAATAATCATCTCTTAAGAGCAATCACTATCTGTTCAGTAGCTGCTACAGCAGAGGAGTTTTAAGATCTACCTGAGCTTAAACTCCCCTCTCACCCTGCAGGGAGTCCTGGGCTTGAGGATCTTATAGTCTCTCCCGGGACAGCATGCCAGGCAAGCTTTATAATCAGTCATCAGCTAAAGTTGATTTTTACATCTGCGTCAAGCGCACGCGTATGCTATGGTACTGCCTAATTGTGAATGCATAGCCCTCGCTGTGACACCGCTGACGTGCACCTCTCAAAAAAATGTAACTACTCATTGCAACGACGCGTAGTGCAAGCTCTGTGATTGGTCGGCCTGGTAGCGCTGACGAGTGTGGGTGGGACCAAGAGCCTGTTGTTTTGTTTCTGTTTACAGTCGAGTGTGGAGTTCCGTGAAGAAGCTCCAGATGGGAAGTTTTGTTCTGTGTTTACCTCATGGTTAAAGTTGTTGCATGTCCGCTGGTTCCTGCCTCAGAATGAGAGCGTTTCAACCACTTGTGCACTAAGGAAGCTTTCAGAAAAAACAACACCAGCGAAGAAACTCGACACAGAGGAACATAAACACCTCATTGCCATCTAGCGTTAGTGATGCACGTTGCATGCGCCGTGGGTCACGCCGATCACTTGACACAGAAGTATAAACCAGGCTTAAGTGTGAATTCGCTTTAAACCTGAGGTTCCAGTCTTGTGACTGTTAAAGCCTGACTTATACATCTGCATCAAGTGATCGGCGTGACCCACGGAGCATGCAACATGCGTAGCTGTGCATTTATACTTCTGTGCGCGCTGTCTCTGTTGCTCTGCAATACCACTTCCGAAACGCTAGTTAGCAGTGAGGTGTTTATGTTTCTCTGTGTCGAGTTTCTTCGCTGGTGTTTTGTTTTTTCTGAACACTTCCTGAATGTACAAGTGGCTCAAACTCGCTCATTTTGAGGCAGGAACCGGCGGACGTGCAACAACTTTAACTATGAGGTAAACACAAAACAAAACTTTCCATCAGGAGCTCCTTCACAGGACTCCACACTTGTAAACAATCAATCCATCTGGCTTGTGCGGCTCTCGTTCCCACCCACATTCATCAGCGCTACCAAGCCGACCAATCACAGGGCTTGCGCTACCCCCGTTGGGACGTGTAGTTACATTTTTTTGAGAGGTGCACGCCAGCTACGCCGACAGCCACGGCGAGGGCTATGCGTCCATGCGTAGGCTGCGCCGTAGCATACGTGTGTGCTTGACGCAGAAGTATAAATCAGCTCTTAAGGGTAAATCTTTAAGGTATTATCACATTGCGCAAAGGGTATTATTTTTCCATTTGCGTCTATGACGGATGAAAAAGATATACATTAGACTTGCCTGGTTTCTCAACAGTAAACTGACCCTTTTCTAGTGCAAGCTGAAGGACAGCGCATTATCATTTGCTCTCCCATGTTGGTAAAGCCCACACTGAGGACTGTTATGCAGATGATGCGCGCACAGCCTGTGATCAAAAAGCACATGCAGAAAGCACTGGTCATGCCTTCAGCATGTGTTGTAGTCGTGAGCACTGGCTGTATTGGTGCTCAGTAAGAATAAAGAAATCACACATATGCCATTTCAAAATAATGTCAGGATTCGGGGTCACTATATTATTATATTATTAGCCCGTATATATATATATATATATAGTATATATTATTATTACTTTCGTTCGAATTACACCAGAGTTACCGACCGCTACCATGTTTTATTCGGCAGCTTATTCCCACGGCTGTACTGCAGACCTCTACAGTGCATCATATTTCACTTGTTATTTAGAAGTTTTTTTTTTAATACTATTATTCAGCTTAAAGTGCAATTTAAAGGCTTATCTGGTTTAAATATGTTTACTAGACCTGTCAGGTTAATTAGGCAAGTCATTGGACAACAGTGTTTTCTGTAGCCTATCAAGAAATATATATATATTTAAGCCAAATTAAAATAAATAGGACTTTCTTTAAACATCACTTGTGTATCATTTATAAAAGAATACAAATTTCTCTAGTAGGCTAATAATTTGACCTTCAACTGTATATTCTTATGCACTTTTTTATGTGGCACTAGCAACACCATCATGGATTTGATTCCCAGTTGATGCATAAAAACAAAGCACTTAAATGCAAATGATAAAAGCATCAGTCCAATAATACAAATATATTTTTTTTCAGCCAAATTAAGACTTTTTTTAAAACATGACTTGAGTATTATTTTAAAATAATTTTAATTTCTCTCAAATGTACATTTTATGCACTGTTTCGCAAGACACTAGCGACACCGTCATGGATTTGATTCTCAGTTGATGCATGAACAAAACATTTAAATGCAAAAGATCAGTCAAATGCATATATACAAATGCATTCAAGCACTAGTTATGCGTTTCAGACATTTGATGTTTTGCCACATTTGACTCGATTTCAGGCCTGCCGACCTTCATTATACAGCCGAGTGATGTGAACATCACAAGAAACACACCTTTCACACTGACCTGTGAAGCTGTCGGACCCCCAAATCCGGTCACTATTAAGTGGCTCCACAAAGGCAAGAGATTTCTGGAGAGCAACCAGTCGTCCAGCATCATCCCCATTGAAGGTAAGAACATGTAGTATTTTTAGTGCTATACAGTATATTCAAAAAATGACTTTGCATTGGTGTATGTCTCCTTAATACACTGCTAACAACGAGTAAAAAGGTCATTTTAAAGAAATGGCTCAAAAAGAGGCTCCATCTGTAGGTGAAAAGCATGAAATTGTAATAGAGGGGTATGATATGGAAGTACTGACCCCTTAAGACAACAATCCTATCAAATTTCTTCATGCTGGGGAAAGTGGTTGAGAAGAAATGTCATGTTTACTTTTAATTGTGGTTGGAGGGTCCAGCCAGTTAGTCCAATGACGGTGTCTACTGGTGGACGAAGGTTCACTGCATGTTCGGTCTTTCCAGTGCACAATGTTGATTTACTTTAAACTTAACTCATATCCGACTCCATTTTTTATATGAGGTGGTTTAGAATATTACTATATTTATCCTCGTTTCAACTGACTCCAATTATAAAACATTGATAAGATTATTTTGTTGCTTTTAAAATTATTTTAGATTATGATTGATGTTACACCTGGCTCAAGGATGCAACATAATGAGGGAGACGACAAGGAGAAGTATAATCAAAAAGAATATTTATTTAACTCAATTTAAATTATATACTCCAAAATATCAGTATCAGTATGTTCAATCAGTGTGAAATGCAAATGAATGGATGCGGTAAATGTTGTCAGTGATCGTGTATGGATGCGAAAGAATGCATAATGCCCAAATAGGAGCGCGGCTCTGGCCAACTGCCAAGTGAATGGACAGCGACCCCGACAAACTCTCTGCCGGGGTTTAAATAAGGGAGCTGACCAGCATCAGGTGCGCTGAAGGCACGCCCCCAATCTGGAATCAAAATCAAACACACAAACAAAACAACGCAGTCCTAACAATTGAATATTCTCTTCAGTTCATTATTGTATGTTACTCTTGTTCATTCGGATTCCTATAACATATTTGTACCAGCCGAGTCTACAATCTCTTAAGCACAAGCATGTCAGTCTTGTTCACTAAACAGTGGCGATTATAGAGTGGAGGAACTATGATGTCAATTTGTATGCAAAAACCTGGAAGCGAGTTAGCATTTTAGCACTTCCGGTTCCCTCGTCCCAAAGTCAATGGGTTTTTTGAATGGGGTTTCAGTAAAATCGCTTAAATAAGGTCCGTGGCTAACACAAATTCAAAATATTTTCACGTTTTGTTCTATGACATAAATCACATCAGTTACAGCACACTTTTGAATTTTTAATTCGGCCATGCTTCTTTAAAAAGACGGCTGCTATCAAGTTGCTAAATGGGACTACAGGCGGTGTCGGAGACATTATACGTCATCGAGCTGATCTGGTCTGGAGCGCAGCTCGCTTGTGTTGGGCATTTGGATTTGTCTGTTATTTAGGTATTTTCATGAATAGTATTTTATAGTTTTTTGTGTTTTTCTAATTAAGAATTCAGATTGTGTATAGATAATGCCTTCACATGTAAAGGCTGTCGAGAATAAATGTTGATCATTTATTTTAATTAAACAATATTATGAAGATACTGCTCACCAGTGCTGCCTGTCCCTTTCCTGCTCTCAGTAATGCAAACGTGTGAAAAAATGTGTAAAAATACAGACATATTAACTGTCATTTTAACGTGATCAAGTGATTTTTCGTCTTTTTTTATTCATCTGAACACCATTTAATTCTGTCATAACTGCAATATTTACACTCCCCCATAAAACGTATAGCAGATGTGACTGTATGGGCTGCTTTTCGCTGTACGTCGTGACATAAATGGAATATTGAATGTTGCTCTGTGTCCATGATGATGGAACTTGCAGGCATTTGATAGACTTGTTCCTCCTCACGCCTCATTTCTGTCGTCTGCTAAGGTAAGCAGGCTGTGTGCACGAGCGATACACTTATTTAAACATGTCTTATGATAATACTATAAAGGCAGATTTATACACACAGTTTTAAAACTTTTAGAACAACCGCAAAGCAAAACAGATGTATTTCCCACGTAAAAACGGTCCAAAAGGCATGTAGGTTTAAGTGTTTTTGCTTATTTATTTATAATATATATTTATAATATTATTATTATTATTATATTATTTATAATATATAGCGTGGATTATAATATAATATACAGAGATATTAACTTTTTGTCATGGACATTATTTCTAAAAATAAGCTTAATAAGTTGTCTGTAGCAGGGTGGGGCTGACGTCACAGACGAGCGCCCCGAGGGCTCTGTAGTCCGTTTATAGCCTAATGTTAGCTTTTTTACTCTTGCGTTTGCATTTAAGATCCAAAAGTGCTCCAAGTTGTATTTTCGTGTGAGGATTATCCGGCTGGACAAAACGTGTAAGTGTAATGAGCAGTGTTGGAACACAGAGCTTATTATTTGCAATCTTCGAAAAGCCTATGGGAAAATCCTATAGGGATTTTCACGAGGGAACCAGTTTTATGCTAGCAGCCGATTAGCCTACAAAGTGACGTCATAGTTCCTCCACTCTATTAGGATAGATTAGGATATTTTTTTTAGGCGGTTCCCATCAAGCTGCTATCTACTAAATCAGACAGAGCTATTTAGTCATGCAACGATCATTACTATAGAATTAAGCAGACCAGTCATACTTAAACTATTAATAACTTTGAGTAATCACTATATTCAGGGCTGGAGCAAGCTGAACTGCCGCTGTAGGCAAAGGACGGTCTCTAGACGGCACTAGAAGCGGATATTACTGAGGGCGTGGGTGGTGAGGGTAGTGTCGGGGACGCGCTGCCCTCTGTATTCTGCCGCCCTAAGTAGCCACCTAGGTCGCCTCTATGGACGCGCCGGCTCTGACTATACTATCCAAATAGTATTATAAGTTTAGAGATGAAGGTCTATTCCCTTAGATATCCTTTTACAGTATATGTATACATCAATTAATGCCAATGTGTCAGTCAAAGTTCCAAGAACATTGTATAGCGTGCCGCACTGCTCCGTCTATCGTGTTTTAGTCCGTTACTATCCTGTACAGGGGCTTTTAGTGCTGTGGACTTACCGTAATCTTCTTGAGGTGATAACACAAACTAATAATTCAACACATAACAATTTATTAGTCAGGTAAATGTGTATTATGCCAATTCATTCAGTCAATTCATAAACGATCAATACAAGACATCCAATTCTCAAAGACAAATCCAAGATTAAAAGATGCATACCTGACTTCAAAATATACATAGGGGGCTGACCTCATTATATAACATTTAGAAACTTTACCTTAAGTAGTCAATCAAAAAATCTCCTCGAGGAAAGGGGTGTGTGATTAACAAAAGGCATTTGCATTTAGTGGGAGAGTTTCTGCCTATAGAAAAGGCACACCCTTCACAGTGGTTCAAAAGTTACCTGAAGTTATATATATATATTTTATTATGTCTATTTCTGAGGAAATGAGATTAATGTACCCATCACACTGAGGCATTTCATTGATATCAAACACGATAGATGAAGTCACTTGGGTTGATTTAGAACATTCAGACTTTGAATTGACCATTCTGTTCGAGTGTAGTATGTAGAAAGGGTGGGTGAACAGGGATGCTTCAAATGTAAATGAAGGAATGGAGGGGAGCTGGTTTTCCAGCATTCCCACCTGGTGGGTTGTGGAGCCGATTGTCTCTGTGCTTTCAGCTCATATTTGAATTGTCAAAGACATCAAAGTATTTGTGATAAGTCTTACATGGTGCCAATATATATATATGTATCTGGAATCCCCCCCCCCCTAATCTTTGATATGTAACCCTTAACAGAACTTTGAATGGCAGGATCTGATAACATTACTGCTTAAATAACATAAACACCTAAACATAAAATACTTTACGGGACCAGTGTATCGCTCATAAAGAGTTTAATAGAAAATCTGGAAAATACACCATATTCTGAATACAGAAGTGATCGACACATGATCAGGGCTAAATAATGTTTGTTTTGTTACAGTAACAGATTTGCTGCCCTCATGATTAGTTTTTAGAGAATTGGAAGTTGGGTCACAAGGTTAAAGAGTTATTTCCCAAGAGCCTGTTGACTCTAAATGACCCTTCAGTAAACCGTGTTACTGCTGATAAAAAAATGACGATCTGTTCCTGTGGTGAATCAGGACACGCCAATTACAGGAAAACATGCATCGCTGACACAGGAAACGATAAAAACCAAACCAACTCTGCGAGAGATTAAAGCATATTCCTAGATCATATTAATAATATGTATATTGTCATGAAAGTAGTTGTCCTTCATAAAAAATAAATAATAATAAATAAATAATATATTATAATACATAAGTTAAAGGAAATGATGATGATGATGATGGTGATGTGTTATAATATTGATTATCCTACACAAAAAATATTTTATACAATTATTTTATAAATAAATAAATGCTTTTAAATAATAATATTAATTATTATTATTATTATCATTACTTGTATTATTATTATTATTATTATTATTATTATTATTATTATTATTATTATTATCATTATTATTATTATTATTATTATTATTATTATTATTATTATTATTGGTGGTGGTGTTGTGTTGTCATTGCATCATAATCCATTATTTTCCAATCATTAATATTATTAATCCAATCAAATATAATATAGTTTAATAAATAAATTATATATTATATGAATAAATTATATAATATTAATAAATATTATATTAAAATTATTTGTTAAAATTACTTGTTTTTTCAGTTATTTGCCAATGCAACATTTGTAATTATTTAAACTTATATTTTTTGTTAAAAAATATATGTAATACATTTTATTATTATTATTATTATTATTATTATTATTATTATTATATATTATTATCATTAGTTTTAGCGATGGTGGTAGTAGTAGTAAAAACATGAATAACATTATTTTTATTATTATTTCAATCATTTTGTGTTATTATTATTATTATTATTATTATTAATATTGGTGTTGTTTTGTTGTTGTTGTTGTTGCATTATTAATAAATTGTTTTTAATT